GAAGGTATTAGTATTGAATTTTATACATAAAGAAAGTGAGGCTCAGGGAGATGACTAATTTAGCCAGGGCTACACATGGCTACTAAATAGAAAATGCAAGACTCAAAGTTAGGTCTAGCTTCAAGCTCTATATTTGTTTCATTATGGCTCTAAGGTTAGAAGATTAAATTATGTAATCCTCACTAAATGGCATTAAAGTTCTAAGACTAAAAAAATATAGTTCAGTGTTATTTTCTTATTATATCCCATCCTTTAGACATATATGCCAATTTTTGTGTTTTATATTTTAAAAGCCATATTTTGATGTATCCATATAACATTTTATGCACATATCCTTAGTTGGTGAAATGGCTTTTTTCCCCAGCAAAGACTTTAAAGCAACTTAAAGGATACATCCAAATACTAACAATTTTATGGTATTACCTTATATTTTCATGGCACTCTACAATTTTACGAAGCGTGCTCATATAAATTCAGGATATTTAAGATACTTGCATTTCTTACTTAAAAAGCACAAGGATAAACAGTAAAGTTTACTATTGGAACTATATATCACATGCTAGATAAGATATAAATTTCCGGGTATCTCCTTTCCTTAACAAAGTTTCTGGAAAGACTGTCTCCATTAACTGTTAATACTTCCAATTTCCTATGATAGGCTGAATAATGGTCCTCAAAGATATCCACACTTGGATCCTGTGAACGTTACCTCCTACAGCAAAAGGGGCTTTGCAGATGAAATTAAGGTTGCTAATAAGCTGACTTTAAAACAGGGAAAATATCCTGGATTATGCAGGTGGGCCCAGTGTAATTACAAGTGCCCTTAAAAGTGGAAGAGGAAGTCACAGAGAGACAGGCAGAAGACATTTCAAGAGGGAGAGGGACTCCGGCCACCATCCCACCTTGAAGATGGAGGAAAGGGTTAGGGTTAGGGTTAGGAATGGGGGTGGCCTCCAGAGCTAAAAACAGCCTTCAGCTGACAGTCAGGAAACAGGGACCTCAGTCATATTACCACAGGTACTGAATTCTGTCACTCATGTGAATAGGCAAGGAAGCAGATTCTTCCCAGAGCTTCTCTTAAAGAGTGCTGCCCTGCCGATGCCTTGTTGAGACCTGTGTCAGACTTCTGACCTATACAACTGTGAGAAAATAAATTTGTGTTGCTTTAAGCTGCTAAGTTTGTGGTAAGTTGTTATGGCAGCAATGAAAAACTAGTATTTTTCCTATTATTCCTATACCCCTAGCTTCTTGGAAACTTTGAAACTGTTCCTACTAACTAAGCCTTAGTTGATAAATGCAATAGCTTTTTCAGTTCTTCTGGGGCCTGTTGCTCCTTCTGGGAACCCTCTCTTCCCTGGTTTCTATGATGCCATTCCTGATTCTCTTCCTTTTCTCTGCTTCCTCCATGGGCACTTTCTCTAATCTTCCACAAATGTTAGTGTTCCTTAGGGATCTGTTCCCAGGTTCTCTTCTTATATTACATATAGGCTTGGCTTCCACATATAAAGGACTGCCAAACCTTATTTGGCAGCTCAAAGGACACGTTTTAGTATCAGATCATTATCTGTCTTCAAGGATTTCCCAAAGCCTCTAGTAATGTGAACTTGTTCTTTCCTCTAAAACCTGCTTCTCTATCTCCTTAATTCTCTTCTCCTGTTTACTAGATCTCTAGTCTACCAAATCAGTTAAAGTACTGTGCCATTATCTTAAGAATATATTCTCACTATGTCATTGGTAACTAAATCCATTTGGATATTACTAGAATGTCTCTATCCCCACGTTACAGTCGTAATTAAGGAACCTATCCTTTCTGAAAAGGATCGGTAAACTGGCACTTTGCCTCTTTACATGCATTCTTACCAATCTCCAAATCCATTCTCTGCCTTCTCACTAACATGATCTTTCTAAAAAAAAGAAAAAAAAGTCTTAATTTACTACCTGTCTATAAAAATGATGTTGTTCTCAGCATCAACTCTGCCCTAAGACTCATTTCTTTCACTCTCAACACCCACATATATAGCACATTCATACTTTTGTACACACCATTTCTTATAACTGAGATGACTTTCTGCTGTTATTCAATTTTATTGAGTGACTAATGAATTAGCAAATATTGGTATGCCTCAGGAGTGCTGTTTGAAATCACCTTTTAAAATATTAGTTGTCGTGTGGCTTCAGGAACTCAACTATAGAATGATATAATAGAAAGTACACCGAACTTAGCACCATCACACCAAGTTTCTAGTTCTATTATTAAAAAGGCCAGTGATTAAAACATCTCTGCGCCTGTTTGGTCACTTGTGAAAGTGAACTAGATAATCTAAATGTCCATAAGTGTTGACAATTCTAGTTTCTAATTAAGAATACTAAAAGTGGGTACTAAAAACAAGTAGTAAAGGTAATTTACAGCACTGTTCAATTTCTAGACAGAGCCTGTAATACTTACATCATTTGCACACAACAATTACACTTACCAATGTAAACTAAAAATAAAATCCTAAGCCCCCAACCAAATGAACAGACCCCCCTCTTGGCCAAGGGACCCCAGAGACACCTTAAAAACTGAGTTCCCGGCCACGATGGAATGGGATGTCTGACAATGCTCTTTTGCAGTTTAGACACAACTGACCAGCATTAATGTTAAAATAGATCATAAGACTGACAGAATGGACTCTTTGTGGCAATAAAATACCAAATTATAAACAAGACCTAAGGCCATGCCAGCCCAGAGTTAAGTCAAGCACCTCTACACAGAAAGAATACATTATATTCTTTTTTTTTTTTTTTTTTTTTTTAAGATAGTCTCAGTCTGTTGCCCGGGCTAGAGTGCCGCGTGTCAGCCTAGTTCACAGCAACCTCAAACTCCTGGGCCCAAGCAATCCTCCTGCCTCAGCCTCCCAAGTAGCTGGGACTACAGGCATGCCCCACTAATATTTTTTCTATATATATTTTATATAGAAAAATAAACTGGCCAATTAATTGGCCAATAAGTTGGCCAATTAAGTTGGCCAATTAATTTCTTTCTATTTATAGTAGAGACAGGGTCTCACTCTTGCTCAGGCTGGTTTTGAACTCCTGACCTTGAGCGATCTCCCCCTGTCCCCTGCCTCGGCCTCCCAGAGTGCTAGAATTACAGGCTTGACCACCGTGCCCAGGCAAGAATACATTATATTCTAATTGCCTAGTGAAGATCTTATAATTCACACCGTACATCTGTCCCTGAGTAAAGAATCTTATTGAGTCCCTAAAATTGTATGACTTCCTGGTTTTGTACTTATTAATACATAACCTACTCACATTGAGAAGGACAGTGATTTGTTTTTGAATTATTAAGTTTTACTGATTATCCTGCACATAAAACATTCTAGCCTGTATGTTACCATCTGCAGCCGATGATTAGATGATTATAACTTCCATATTATACCCCTCAATGAAAAAGGACAACTTTGATATAAGGAGACCCCCTCCCTCTTCTTAGACTTTCATATAAAAGTATTCTAACCTGTAACAGACTTCGGGAAACGCCCAGCTTTGTTGGTGTGACTTTCTGGGCCATGGGCACTCATATTGGCTCAGAATAGACAAACCTCTTTAAAATAATTTACAGAGTTTGGTTTTTCCATTAACTAGATAAATAAGACAAACAATAGAGAATATCTTGTTCTAAGGATTTGGGGATAAGATCTAAATGTGTTTGGAAGATCAATCAGATGTGCAGGCAAAACTACAAACTGAAAAGAGGTCATATTTAGAATTACCAAAAGGAGAGCTATCTAGAGTAAAAATTTTAAACAAAACCATAACATGAGATCTGGTTTTAGGTGCTTTTATGCACTAAAAAGTTTCAACATAAACTAACCCTCTTCTGACTTGAGGCTTCTTCCCATGGCCATGTTATTTACCTTCTCTCTCCTCCTCCTGAGTTTTGTTGCCATTTGGTTTTATAATCCCAAGCAAGTGCCTCCTTCTTGGTGCTTGGGCAGATGCTATAAATAAAATCAGCTAAAGTGTCTGATTGATAGTAAACAGGCTTCAGGTGATAATGAGTCTCTAGTAATTAGGGCCTCACTGGATTCAACCCAACCCCTTCGGTCCCTCCCCTGCGGCGCGCGCAGGGCTCCTCGCAGAGTATCTAGGGAGTGGCCCGGAGTCTCCGGCCACTGCCGCTGTCAGCGCTGGGTCCCTTCTCCTTCACGGAGGTGGGGACTGAGTAAGCTGAGCCTGTTTTGGTTTGGTTTGCGTTTCGGGGAGCAGTAGCCAGCGGAGTGAACAGCGCCCGGATGCGCCCCGGGCCCCTCCACATCCCTCGGGGACGCGCGCCGGGCTCGAGCGTGGAACGGGGCTGAAATGGCAACCGCTGGAATAACGGACTCGGCCCCTGCGGCTCCCCCGGCCTTCGGGGAGAGGCCGGGTGGGCAGGGCGCCTGGCCTTCGCGCCCGTCCCCGCCCAGCCCCAGCCCCAGCCCCAGCCCCAGCCCCAGCGCAGCAGGTGGACACAGCAGCTCCGGAGGACCCAGCTGGCCCGAGGTGGCACCAACCCCCTCCGTCCAGCGCTGGCCTTCGCACCCAGAAGGCGGGCAGAGCCCACCCAGGAACCCCGCTCGCCGCGCCCCCATCGCCAAACTCAATGTCCACCCCCTCCCCCGGCCCCGACCTGCGCAGCCTTTCCAGCTGCAAAGGAAAGCGGCGCGGCCGGGAGTCCCCACCGCGAGGGACGCAGCCGCCACTGGGACTCCTCTCCCCAGCCCGAGCGCAGTGGGCCGCGGGAAGGTGGCCTGCTGATCACGCACCTGTCTTGCGGGCCTGTTTGAGGCAGTGGCAGCTCAGATGACCGAATCGCTGCCACTTGGTCCCGTCGTCTCCCTAGACCAATCCCGCCGGCGGCCGCGCAGCAGCGACTGCTAACCGCGCATGCGCGTGCGCCGCGGGCTGGGAGGACGCGGCTGCCCCCGGCGCGAGAGGCGCGCACCGGCCCGGGGGGCTCAACGGCCGCGGAGGGGCGCCCCGCCTCGTGCCCGCGGGTCGCCGCCGGGTGCGGCCCCTGGCGTAGCCGAGGAGGGGTTCCTCCTTGTTAGTGCAAAGACTGCTCCTCGGAGCGCCTGCCCTCTGTGCGAACAGAGCGGCTCTTCCTCCTATTGCACAATAATTGCATCCTGAATTTGATGTAAATCATCTTTTTGAACAGAATCCAGTTACAGGTGCAGTAAGGTTAGTGCTCTAGGTTTTCTGCAGAGTTCTGTTATGTTAAGAGATGAGCAGTCTTTGTGGTTAGCAGGGAGCCTTCCTATTTCGTGTGTATATGATAAATATAGATATGTTAAATGTTAACGTAGTAAATACATTATATATAAAACAATACATTCTTTTTCTTTCTTGCAACACTTCTGATAAGAATTGCCCACCTTTATTGTGCTCACTGTGCTCTGTTTTACAGTCATTGGCTCCCTTAAACTTCACAACCCAGGTGAGGAAACTGGTAACTTCCTCCAATGTGCACAACTAGTAAACAGTGGAAACCCGATTTAAATCAGGCCTCTTTCTCTCAGAGCCTGTAGTTTCAACCAACACATTAAAAATACAATATTAACATACTACTGAATCACAAGCTTCTTTGCTCTAAAGATATTGGATCATGCAGTTTTACTTCTTATATTTTATAGTAAACGTGACTTTGAATTTTGTATAATCATGATTTAAATTTTATAGGGAAAATAACATTTAATTGACTGGTTAGTCTAACACCCCTGCCGAAGAGCCTCAGATTAAAGAATTGATGGCATTACATGCACAATGTGATTATTGCCTAGGGGTCAAGATCATTGAATATTTTTCCAGATTGCTTCACTAATAAGGCCACCATTTTTAGACTTTTGAAGCTGTCACTTCCTGGAGAGTGTTTGAAAAGTGTTAAATTTACGTGTTAAAAAGACATTTTATTTGAGGGACTTTGTAATAACATATTCCCCTTAATTTCTTTCTTCCCTCTTTCCAGCTTTTGTTATTCAACATAATTCTGTGGCCCATAACAAATAACACTTGATTTATTAGAGAAGGATTTGTGAAGGGTCCATTCAAAGTTTACAATGAGGAAGCTGAAAACTAAAAATGTAAAAATAGATATTTTTTTGGTAAGACTATCTTTTTCATCACACAAACTTTGAGAACATTTTTGACTCTTACCTTTGGGTGCTACATTCACTGTCTCCATTAAAGTTCATCTCCATAAAATCATCTAAAAGAACTCACCCCACCCCTTAGCCCCTGTGCTATTTCTCTAGTTGAGATTCTTCCTGCTTTAGAAACTCTTGCCAAGAGTTGCCTAACTGCTCCCACCTGCACTTTGTCTAGTCAGGTGCTTTAATCCTCAATTCATTCAAAAGCTCCCAATGACCCCTCATTCCCTTCAGAATCAAATCTAATTCTTATCCCTGGAATTCAAGACCTTAACCCACAGCTCCGCAATTATTTGCCACCTAGTGAAAGGATGATTGAATATTTATAATTTTATTATAAATTTATATATTTATATTATATTTATAGTTTTATAATTTTGCTTAACAGGCAACTTTTCACCAGAATAATGCAGCATTATAATAATGTAAGAGAAGAAAAAATAGTATGAAATTAAGACCAGTGGTACGGGTTTTTGGGAATGACGTGGTATTTAGAAATACAAGGGGAAGAGTCCTGCAAGGTAATGCTGAATGATAAGAGTAGTGAAGTGAAGAACACTAAAGTATTCACTAATTTTTAACACAATACTATCTTCGATTTTCTCTTTTGGTCTATCATCTATTTAATATCATCTATCTATGTATTTAATGTTTTTCTGGACCATTTGAGAATAGATTGCATACATCATACCCTTTTACTACTTAATAATTCATTATATATTTTTAGAAACAATATTTTTCTCATGTATCTACAGTATCATGACCTAAAATTTAGGGAATTTAACATTAACATAGTAATTTAATCTATAGACAATATTCTAATTTTGTTCCCTGTCTCAATAATGTCACTTATAGCATTCTTCCAGTACAGGAAAAAATCTTACATGTCGTTGTCATACCTCTTTAGTCTTCTTTCATCTAAAATTGTGACTCCACATTTTCTTACTTTTCATGACATTAGAATTTTTGAAGAATACAAGCTAGTTATTCCACAGAATGCCTCGCAACATAGATTTATCCGGTATTTTCTCATGATTTTGGATGTAAGTTATGAAATTTTGGCTGGAATATCTAATAAATCATGTTGTGACCTTTTTATGGTAATTTACCTGAGACATGTGATATCCATGTGCCTCCTATTGGTGATGTTAACTCTGGATACTTGTTTAGGGTGTTGCCTGCTTGCCCCTCTGTAGAGTTACAATTTTTTCATTTATATTTAATAAGCAATCTGTGTGAACAAACTTTGAGGCTATGTAAATGTCCTGTTCTTCATTAAACATTATTCTCCCTCTCCCATTACCAGGGATTTGGCATTTATCAATCATTTTTACCTGAATCAGTTTTACTATCATGATTGCAATATAGTGATTTTATAATTCCATCTTACTTCTATATTTATTAGGCAACATTATATTGAAAAGAGCTTTTACTTACCCTACACCCACCGATTCATCTCCCTAATCTATCTATTGTAAGAATAGAATGATGGCTTTTGTATTTTATTCAATGAGTTACTATGCTTAGTTATTATTAATACATCCACTTCTTAGTGAACATTTGTATTGTTTCCAGTTTGGGGCTATTACAAATAAAGATGCTATGGTCATTCATGTACAAATCTGTGTATGGACATACAGTTCCATTCCTTTTAAATAATTAGGAGTGAAATAGCTGGGATGTATAGTAGACACCTGAACGGTTTAAGAAAATGCTATTTTCCAATGTTGCTACATTATTTTACATTTCCACCACAATGCATGAGATTTCCAATTACTCTGCATATTTACCATTGCTTAGTAGGGTCAGTCTTTAATTTTAGCCTTTCTAGTGTCCAATCAGTGATATCTCATTGCAGTTTTAAGTGCTATATGGTTTTCTCATATATTACCAGATCCCCTCCATTGGAGTTTTATTATTCTGTAGTCTCAGAAGCAGTGTATGGGAGTGCTTATTTACACGTTACAGAAATTCCCATTCATTGCAATTTTAAAAATATTTTTATGAGAAATAGCTCTTGCATTTTTTCAAGGGCTTTTTCAGCACCTGTGGAGGTAAACATGATTTTTTTCTACTTAGACTTGATAATATTATACATTATAATAACAGATTTCCTAACAGGTTCTTGCATCCTTGGTAAAAATAACAGGCCATAGTATGCTGTTTTCTTAATATGGCTTGAGAATCTATTTCTAATATTGCATTTAGGATTTTTGCATCAATTGTCATAAATGATATTGCTCTGTAGTTTTCTTTGTGCTATCATTAACAGGATTAGGTACTAATGTTTGAAAATATTCCTTATTTGGTATATTCTGAAACAATTTAGAAATATTAGGACTGTTTGGTTCTTAAAAGTTTAATTGAATTTCCCTGTGCACTCATCTGCTCCTGGTGCCTGCTTATGCTTATTTGTTATTTCTGGATAACTTTCTCTACTTCTTTTATGAACATTGGTTGGTTTAAGCTTTCTGTTTCTACTGGCATCAATTTTGGTAAACAATTTCCTAAGAAATTATACATTTTATCTGGGTTTATAGAAAGAAAACTAATATCAATAAAACAAAAATATGTCAGTTTATATAAACTTTTTCCTAATTCATTGTCTGAAGTGCTGTTAAAATCAACACAGCATCTAAAAATATATCCCAAGCTTATTAAAGAAGAAAAATATCAGAATATATGTTCCCATGGGAAATGCCCGCCCAGATTTATCTTGCATTATTTCTTCTAATTGTCACAATTCTACCACTGGGTGTAAGGTCCATGCAAGAATACACAACAAACCCCGAGACACCTATGGTAATAGAGGTATCTCTTTCCCCTCTCCCCAAGATTGGAGCCACATTTACCATTACTTTTCATTACTTACTAGTAGGAATATTACTACATTGTGATATTTGCTTCATATAATCAATAATAAATAGTACAGATGTTGGTGGCTTTCTTAATACTTGAGAGAAATTTTGGCAACAGAGAATTTCACTTATGTCTTCAATGTTTGCAGAGCTTCTATTCACTTCAAAAGTAGTGTTACACAAAAAGATTTCAGGGGAATCTAGTTTCTGCAAACTTCTCTGTTGTATATCATTACTTGGCCTTCATGTATGTTTGAAGAACAGTGATTCTAATAAAGCAAGATCAATATAAATGCTATAAAACAAACACTCAATATACTACAGTTATAGCAGAGCAAATAGTCTGGGATTCTCCAAATCTCCCTTTCTTCATATACCTCAGACCAGAGACTGTGGGTGGTAAGCAGGCCCCTCCAAACATCAACCGTTTGGGATCAGTAGGGACAGGGATGAAAGCTGGGGCATCTCTCCTGAATACATTAGAAATATTTTCCAGCAATGCTTTGTGCTGACCACCCAAGTGATCTTAATCATGAGTGAAGGGCAGTGGTAATTGGACTGAATTTTTAAGGCTATCTTTAACTTACTTCTTTTTTTTTTTCCTTATAGCATCTTTCACTCTTATGGTATCTCAGTCAGGGTTCAAGTGCCTCTTTCTGAGTGCCAAAGTGGGACACCCTTGAAATCATCTCAGCTTTTTAGTAACATTCAGCAGTATGTTGAACAACCTCTTTTAATACCTATGCTAGTGTATGGTCTCAGCCTTTCAGGTTTTTTGGGTTTTTTTTTGAGACAGAGTCTCATTTTGTTGCCCAGGCTAGAGTGAGTGCCCTGGCATCAGCCTAGCTCAATCTCAATCACAGCAACCTCAATCTCCTGGGCTCAAGCAATCCTGCTGCCTCAGCCTCCTGAGTAGTTGGGACCACAGGCATGCGCCACCATGCCCGGCTCATTTTTTCTATATATATTAGTTGGCCAATTAATTTCTTTCTATTTATAGTAGAGATGGGGGTCTCGCTCTTGCTCAGGCTGGTTTCGAACTCCTGACCTCCAGCAATCCGCCCGCCTCTGCCTCCTAGAGTGCTAGGATTACAGGCGTGAGCCACCACGCCTGGCCTTTCAGGTATTTTGTTCTACTCTTGGATGACAGGCTAAGAAGTCTAAGCAAATACCTTTTCCAGCAATGTAGCTATCTTTTTGAGAAATACTGTACCTAGACTAAGTTCTGATTCTTCGTACTAGCTTGGAATATGCTCTGGAAGATTTAATTTTAAAAGTTCAAAAATTTTTAAATCAATGTAAAAATCACATTAAATAAATAAAAGTTAAAAATTTAAGTCAAATTTAAAATCTTTGTAACATATATAGAATGTCTTCTTTTCTTCTTAAAGGAAAGAATAAAATGGACACACATGAACAGTTCATTTTTCATATTCTCTTTATAAATTGATATGTGATACAGTTCATACTGAGGTAAATGTGTGAAGTTTTGGCGGTCAAGGATAGGACAGCAGTATGAAATTAAGACTTTTGTGATATATGATTGAAGGACAAGAAATAAATGTCTTATTGTTCACAATAAATAAAGTAATATTAGAATAACAGCAAGAAGAAAAATAGGAGATTTTAATAGATGCTCAAAAGTGATGGATCAAGCAAACAAAAATTAGTAAGCAGTTAAACGATTTGCACAACCAAATTTAAAAGGCTGATATAAGAGCATCCTGTACCCAATAAATAGGAATACTGTTAAAAAGACATTTTTTAAAGCACAAAACCAACATTTATGAAAAGAAATGAAAGAACATATTTCAAAAGGAGTGTACAGAGACTATACGTTCTTTTCAAAGCCATATGGAACACAAGGATTCACAATAATTCTCAAATTTTATCATACACATAAAGATCTATAACAACAATGCAATTAAGTTAGAAATTAACAATAAATGTGGGGAAAAAAAAACAATATATTTGGAAAAAAACAAACATGCTTCCAAATAATCTATGAGTTAAGAAGGCAATAATAATAGAAACTATGAAATCTTTAGAACTGTCAGAATATGTACATATCAAGATGTTTAATAATTAGCTCAAATGGCACTAGGGGTAAGTTTACACTTTTATTAAAAGACAAAAAGATACTGCGGCACTGCCAGATCCAGCATTGCTTAAATTTGTGCTTTCTATTTCTTTAGATGTCTTAACAAAATAAATAAAAGCATATACCAATTCACCCAGAACTTGTCTATGACAATGGCACATTTCTGAACTTACAACTATTTATTGAGATTATGTGATGGTCATAATAAAAGTCAATAAAATATGTTCATACTATCTAAGTCAATAAAATATGGTCATTCTATCTATAGTTCTTTATTTTAAAAAACTTCCCTGCTTTTACTATTTTTAAATTAAATTGTAATAGGGTACAAACATCATAAATGTTTTATTTTTTCTTGACCTAAAAGGTCATTTAATACTTTCAAGTCTACTAATTTGTTCATTGTTTACTTCTCTTGTAGATAATTATGTTATTTTCATTATTATAATTTCTGAAACATGCCATTAGAAATCAAGGTTATCTGAAGTTCAAGGTATTACAGAGTTTCTTCTTGTTATGCTTATTTTCTTCATATTTTCTAAAATGAAAGGAAAAAATCTGTAACATCTAGAAATAACATGTTATTAATTTCTAAAGATGTAATTATTTTCATGACAATTTCTTAATAATATTTTTTCCTTATTGTGTCTTCTTTGACACCATTACCCCTTATAAACAACTTTACACTGGCAAAAGATATAATTCTTATGATGTATTAGACAATGCCTATTTTAATACTATCATAGTATTAAAATTATTGAAAGTAGATTTCCATCTGTGGTATTCCAGTGAAATCTGTAAGGCCAGACTGTCATTACAGACAACAAAAAACGGTTGTAGGTAATGTACAAATATTTTAAAACATTCATTTTATTTGATTTTCATACTTTAAAATATAAATAAATACAGAAAAGATTTATGATAACTTAAAGTGAAATCACATACAATAATCCTTTAATAATAATATATGAAAGAAAGGCAGAGATTAAATATAAACTGAGGACTGAAGAAATTCTGTGAATATAAGATAATATGGGTACTACATTTCATATGAAATTAGTTTTGAATTTTTGGTAGTCAAAGGAGGAAAAAAAAAAAAACACCCACAAGGGACTAAAAGAATCATGACAATTCTTTGGGAAGGAATATCTTTTTCTAGCCTCAAGTTCTAAAAGAAAATTGTCCCAAGTATTTTTAAATAAAAGGGAAACATGGAACTTTAAAGAACAGTCATACAGTATATCATCCTTTAATAAAAGTCAAGGGCATAACCTTAAAGAGTAATTCAGTTAAAGCATTTTAATGGGAAGTATTCTTCCACTTTCTTTCCCTCTATCACCTCCACTAGGCTTGTCGAATTTAGTAATAACTACTGTAACAACAAAACGAATGAGACATAACACACAAAAAGAGTCATTGTTTAACTGAAACTCAAAGATAATTGGGCATCCTGTATTTTATCTGGCAACCCTACTTCCAATACATTTAAACACTTGGCCTTGTGTCCAGTACACTGCAATAAACGGAAAATGACTTTTCATGTAGGATGGAGAATTAGCAAATATATTATTAGCTTGCTTATCAACTAATAGAAAAACTTAAAAGTATTTTATTTGAATTTTCAGAAAATATCCATTTATTAATAAGAAAATATTACAGTTGTTTCTAAAAGAAATTTTTTACATTTATTATAAAGAGTATGAAATGATAAAGAAAATTTAAGTTGAAGATCTAAGGAAATCGCAAAAAATTTAAAAACTAAAAGTTCATCACTAAAAAGACATATTTTTTGTTTTATTAAATTATTATTTTGGAACTAAAAGCTAGATACAGAAGTGAAATTATTTTTCTGTTCAATAAAACCATAGAAAATTTATCTTACATTAAAAAAGTTTTATGATAAGTGTAATATTAAAATTTAACTGGTTAAGGAATAAATTTTACATAAAAGTTTTTTGGGAAGACTGAAAGGAATGAATTTTAAGGAAAACAGCAACAAGTTGAACATACATAGAATATAAGGATTTAAAATAATATAAAATTAACAAACATCTGATAATTTTCTATATATTTATATTAATTTTTTATACTTACCACTTTATTGTTGAAGGCTTAATTTTAAAAAATATGATGTAGTTGATTAAGAAAGTTGAGAAATAGTCTAATCCTTGTTATGACATTATTTCTGAAAAGTGGTTCTGATAATTTTTAAAGAAGCCATTAGAAATATGAGACTCCTAGTAATAGATATCCTGTTAAAAATTTTTAAAATAATTTAAATATAATCATATTTGACATCTTATTAAATTGTTGATTTCCATTTATTTTACATGGTACAAAGTATAAAAAGGAAAAAAGCCAAGATTATAAGATCAAAATATGAAGGATTATGTGCACATTCTACTTAACATGTCACAAATTTACAGAGGTGAAATTAAAATATCTTATCTGGCAAATATAATGGAAGAAAAGAATCCCAGTATTATAGCACCAAAAGTTGAATAGCACAAACCAATTTCTTTCTGCATCATCTGCAGCTATGTCTTATGTATTCTGTTGGTGTGATTTTTTTGCATAAAAATCCATTAGAGTTACATTTTCGTTATTCTAGGCACTTCTTTGTCTTGTTTGCTACACACTTTTACACTTGCATTCCACCTTGCTTGATAGCCAATAGCTAACATTTACTGAGTTCACATTATGTTCTAGGCACTGTTCCAATGACTTCAGCACAATACATAAAGGAGAAAAGCAGAAAGGGGACAGGTTATGAATGAGGGAAGGATGTATATGTGCACTTGCTATTCAATTGACAGAAGATTAAAAAGACCGTTTCCTTTGTTGTGTGAAGATATGAAGGGTATAGATGTCAATAGTATTTCAAAGGTTGAAGAAACCATAATGATTGTTTAATTAAAATTCTTCAAAGATTTTGATAGATGAAGAAATTACAGAGGACTATTAGGGCTTGCCCAATATCATGCATATGTGCCCTGGGTCACCAGAACTAAAAACTAGGTGCTTTGACTCTGAATGCTTTGTTATTTCTACTCTACCAAGGTGTGAAGTCAATTATCAATTATACTGTTTCTGAAAATGATACAAAATTTAATAATGACTAAAAATCAAACACTGCTGAATTTTTCTTCATATGGTAAAACAAATAGTGGTCTGAAATAACAATTTTGATACCTTTAAGTTAAATAATAAAGTATTTTATTTTTGAAATATTCTTGTATAATTTTCAATTTTTGACTAAAATAGTAAATTTTATTATAATTTTCAAAAAAAATTTTTAGTCTTGTTATTTGAATTGCACAGCTAGGAGCAGGAAGGCAAAGAAGTTTATGCAGGCTGGATTTTTCTCACCATGATAGATAACTAGGGTCTTTAAAACATGATTGCTCAATTTATAAACATTCTTTTCCACATATAGTTCTGTCATAAGATGAATTGTGCTTAAACAGCTATATTTTATGGTTTGTCTCATGCCATCACTCTTTTTCTGAATAGTATTTTATAAGTTTGTGAAACATTGTATATTACTGAAGTTACATGTCAAAATCTTACGTTGTAACGTTGTTCTTTTCCAGATAACGATGAATGTGTACCCACATGCTGGAAAAGAGAAGGTTTATACTGAATACGAATTTGCTTTTGTAGTTCTTTGCAGTTATCCTGGAGAAAAAGAAAAACAGCAAACTTCTATAAAAATCTAAATATTCCTTTGTATTGCATTTACTGATGACAGAATTTTTATCATATTAGTTTTTACGAAGATTGTATATTAGCATTTAAAAGTTTGAACACTTAATTCTTAGCTTTTTCTTCATATGAATAATAGAGCAAAGGAGTTGGGGTAAAAAGGGTTTAGTGAAAGCATCTATTTTCATGAACTCTATCTCAGAAAACCAGATTACTGTCGTACAAACTATAATTTTTCTTTTCTTTCTTTTTAATTCTAATAACTTAGATGAAATTTTTAGTGTTTTTCTGCCTATCGACTTCTATCAGACTACATTATTCTGTCTTTTGCATCCCATATTCATTAATTAATTCCAGTTGAATTGCATCCTCCTCAATTTCTTCTTAAATAGTAAAAATGTGTATGATTAAAGCAAAGAGCCAATTTATATTTAATAGAAAAGAATTTGAATAATCTTCTTAAAAATAAAAATAAGAAAGATGATGTGGCACCACTCCAATTAAAAACAAACATTTGAACATTTGCAATGATGATGATTGCTATCTGAGAACTATTTTATATATTTTATACACAGAAAAGTCAGAAAAATAAATCTCAAATTTATATACATAATATTTTTAAATAGCAGGCTTATATTTAGATGCATTTCGTACTGACATGTAGGAAAATATTATACTAAAAATATTTTATTAAAGAATTTTTTTTGAGACAGAGTCTTGCTTTGTCACCCAGGTTGGAGTACCCAGGTTGGCCTGATCATAGCCACAGCAACCTCGAACTCCTGGCCTCAAGTGATCCTCCTGCCGCAGCCTCCCAAAGTGCTGGGATCATAGGCAGGAGCCACTGTGCCTGGCCAAGGGTCATTTTTATAACTTTAAAGTAATTTAATGATCTAGATTTAATTTAACTTGAAACTAAATTAGCATCAGATAAAATTGAGGAGTTAAAATTTAGCAAATAAGATAATGGTTTCCCCCAAATAACCCCCAAATAACCTGTTGATAAAGCAAAGCTGAGTTCATTGCATATTATAGTAAGGGAAATAATTACTTTTATGGAGTCTTGGTAGTGACTATTCAAGTCTTTTGTCCCTTTTTTAATTGGGTTGTTTACTCGTTGGGTTTTGAGAGTTCTATACGTGTACCGAATACAAGTCTTTTGTTGGATATGGAATTTACAAATATTTTCTCCTAGTCTGTAGTGTCTTATCATCCTGTTAATAGTATCTGTTACAGCACAAAACATTTAAAGTTTGATGAAGTCCACTTTATCAACTTTTAAAAATGAATCATGCTTTTAGTGTCATTTTTAGGAACTCTTCTCCTAACTGTACGTCCAAAACATTTTTTTCTATATCTTTCCAAGAGTTTTATAGTTTTGCATTTGGATAAAATAGTGTTTGTATAAGGTGTGCGGTTTAGGTTGAGGATCTCCTAGAGATAGAGAGAGAGAGAGAGTAAGAGAGAGATATCCAGTTGATCTAATAAATATTTGTTGAAAAGACTGTTCTTTCTCCATTGAATTTGCATATGCTTCTTCATCAAGTATCAATCAGCTATATTTTGTAGGCCTATTTCTGGACTTTATATTCTGTTCCATGGATCTATATGTTTGCCCCTTTGCCTATAAAGGGTTGTCTTGATTACTGTAGCTTTATAGTAAGCTTTAGTGTGATGCCCCCAACTTTATTCTTCTTTTTCAGAATTATTCAAACTAATCTAGGTCCTTTGTCTTTGCTTAAAAATTTTAGAATCAGCTTGTCTAGACCAAAAAAATCTCTGCTGGGATTTTTATTGTTATTGTTTTAAATCCATAGACCAATTTTGAGAGCATTCATGTCTTTACTTTGTTGAGCCTACCCATCTATGATCATAGTAGGTCTCTCTATTCTTTTCATTAGCATTCTGAGGTGTTTAGCATATAGATAATATACATATTTGTTAGATTTATACACACAAATACATAATTATTTTATATAGAATGCCCACTTTCATCACTCATATTCAACATAATACCGGAAGTCCTAACCAGAGCAATCAGACAAGAAAAAGAAATAAAGACATCCAAATTGGAAGTGAAGAAGTCAAGCTGTTCCTCTTTGCTGACGATATGATCTTATATCTAGAAAAACCTGAAGATCTGACCAAACATTCTTAGATTTGAAAAGTGAATTCAGTAAAGTTGCAGGTTACAAAATCAACATGAAAAAATTCAGTAGCATTTCTATATACTAATAATGATCTTGCCAAGAAAGAAACCCCATTTACAATTGTTACAAAAATGATAAAACACCTATGAATAAATTTAACTAAAGAAGTGAAAGATTTCTGCAAGGGAAACTACAAAACACTGTTGAAATTGAAGATGACATAACCAAAGACAAAGACATCCCATGCTCATGGATTGAAAGAATCAATATCATTAAAATGATCAAATTGCCCAAAGCAATCAATGGAGTCAATGCAATCTCTATCAAAATATCAATTTCATTCTTCACAGAATCAGAAAAAATAATCCTAAAATTCATATGGAACCAAAAAAGGGCCCAGATAGCCAGAGCGATTCTGAGCAAAAGGACAAAGCTGAAGGCATCACATTACCTGACTTCAAAACATATTAGAAGGCTATAGTAACCAAAACAGCATTGTATTGGTTATAAAACTAGACACATAGACCAATGGAACAGAATAGAGAACCCAGCAATAAAGCCACATACTTACAGCCAACTGATCTTTGACAAAGCCAACAAGAACTTACATTGGGGAAAGGACACCCTATTCAATAAATGGTGGTAGGAAAATTGGATGGCCACATTCAGAAAAATGAAACTGGACTCCTATCTCTCCCTGAATTTAGGGGTGGGAGATCTGTGGAGGACTTGGGGCCAAATCTGGCCTTCTGGGTCCTTGAGTACAGCCTTTTGACTGAATACAAATTTTACAGAACAAATATTTTTAATAAAGGGATTTGTTCTGTGAAGTTTGGATTCAGTTGAGGGGCTATAGTTGGGGATATGGAGGGACACATATGGCCTTGAGGCTGCAGGTTCCCCACCTAACTAGACAAACTGGACTTAATTAAACTAAAAAGCTCTGTAGAGCAAAAGAAAAAGTCAACATAATTAAAGGAGGACCTGTTGAATGGGAGAAAATATTGGCAAACTATTCATTTGGCAGGGTACTAATATCCAGAATACATAAGGAACTCAAACAGCTCAACATTTGATAAAAACAAATGATCCCATTTAAAAGTGGACAAAGGACATAGACATTTCTCAAAAGAAGACATACAAACAGCCAAAAGGTTTATGAAAAAGTACTCAATATCATTAATCATCAGAGAAATGCAAATCAAAATCACAGTGGGATATCATCTTACCTTAGTCAGAATGGCTATTATTAAAAAAAACACAAAATAATAGACATTGGTGAGGATGCTAGAGAAAAGGAAACTCCTATACAATGTAGGTAGGAATGTAAACTAGTACAGACACTATCGAAAACAATATGGAGATTTCTCAAAAAACTAAAAATAGAGCTACCATTGGATCCAGCAATTTTACTATTAGGTATCTAGTGAAAGGGAAAGAAATCAATATATCAAAGAAATACATTCACTAACATGTTATTGCAGCAATATTCACAATAGCAAAGATATGGAATCAAACTAAGTGTCCATCAACTGATGAATGGATAAAGAAAATATGGTACATGTACACAATACTATTTGGCCATAAAAAATGAAATCATGTCATTTTCAGCAACATGAATGGAACTGGAGGCCATTATTTTAAGTGAAATAAGCCAGGAACAAAAAGATAAGTATCAGATGCTCTGAATTATATGTGGGAGCTAAAAAATCTAATCAGATGATGTAGATAGTGGAAAGATAGAGAATAGAGACTGGGAAGGGTGACTGGATGAGAAGGGGAGGATGAAGAGAAGTGGGTTAAAGGGTACAAACACACAGAAAGAAGGAAAAAATTAAACATTTGATAACAGAGTAGGGTAACTATAGTTAAACAAAAATTTATTGCCCTCTGGAGATGGGTATCTTACATATCCTGACATGAACACTACACATTATATACATGTAACAAAATTACACATATACCCCATAAATTTGTACAAACAAAGAAATGAAAAGACTCTGTTAGATGCCTGTACTTTTAGGATTGTTTTGTCCTCTTGGTGAATTGATCGTTTAATCTGCTAGTACATAGTATCTTTCTTGATCCCTGGTCTTTTTTGTTTTTTCCTCTAAAGTCTACTTTGATATTAATGTAGCTCCTACTACAAATTTCCTTTGATTAGTGTTTGGTATATCTTTTTCCATCTATTACTTTTAACCTATCCTATATCATTATATCTGAACTGAGTATAGACATCAGTAGTTGCATCATTTAAAAAAATACACTCTGATGATCTCTTTCTTAATTGGTGTAGTTTGACCATTTATATTCAATATAAATATAGGCATGTTTGGATTTATGTCTGCCATTTTTTTCCTGTTTGTTCACGCTGATTTTTGTTCCTCTGTTTCCACTTTCACTGCATTTCTTAAATCTCTCATTACTTCATTTAATAGGTAGAAATGTCAGTAAAAATTTAAAATATTGGAAGTTTGAAAAATCGATGGATTCATCAGATTTTGTTCAATAAAAACATTTTAGGTAATTACATTAGATAGAGAGCATTTTCCTAAAATATTTGGTATTCATAAGGAAATACTTACAAAAGAATCTACTGGGTCACACATCTTTATCTGAAACATGTATTCCATGAGCAAGTCTATGGGTTGCTCTTTGTAAAACATTAGAAAAAAACGTACAAAGCCAGGTAAGTCCTCACATCTAAACAGCTTTCCTGTGAAGAAAAAGCAAGGAAATGCAGATAACTCACATATAATTGTCCATTCCATTAACATGGGAAAAGAGGAAAAAACATTAAAATTTGAATATATCCTAGTCCTTAGAAAAAATAAAGTTTAAAGCACTAATGAAGTTGGAGAATGATAAAGTAAAACATATCTGTTTAAGTATTAAGGATGGCTGCTTCTGAAGGAAAAAGAGTATAAGCAGGTTTAGAATAGCCAGTAATCTCAGGAAATCAATTTCGATAACTAATAACTATTGTCTAAATCAAGTGAAAGATAAGCAAATAAAATGGAACATATGGGAGCTGTAATTTCTTGCTTAATTTTGTACAAACTGTTATTTTTTACCTGACTTTTGAAGTACTTCATCAATCTACTACATTTTCACTTTTAGTACTTAATTTTTATTAAGCATTATTTAAGTATTTGGGCATTATTTCATCAAAAGGTTATTTTTCTTTTATATTTGTGTTTCTTAAAGATTTGCTATATTTTCAAGTATAATTCCATTATGTCCAATGATTTTTTTCTAATATACTGCATCTTTAACTTTAAAATGACATCGAAGGGGTAAGATTCAGGTAAATGTTCACTTCCATGTAAGTAATGTAAAATACATCTAACCATTTAATAAGCATGATAGTAGGACGTATGCAGCTTTATTCTTCACTGGGACTTGAGTCTATATGGGTCACTTAATCAGATGTATAACTATATTTAAATTTCTGGCACCCATTTATCTAGTAACCAAAGCAAGTGATTCAATGTTGTAAATAGTTGATTCAATTCCTAATCTGCTGCCAGCATGCTGTAAAAGCTCATATTTTAACAAATAATGAATAACATATTGTTATATGATAACAAAAAGCAAAGCCTTTGTAAATTTAAGCTTAAGTAAGACTTTGGCATCTCACAAACAGTCCTCCTTGTTCAATGTGCTCCTGTGCTGATCAGAATGTAAACATTCTCTATGCTTCTCATACTTGATGTTGCTGAGAGAGAGAAATTCTTTGAGAATTTTAAATATTCAGAGTAACAAGATTATATTTTCTCTCCAACCTTCTCATTGGGCATTACTGTAACTCATCATTTTTCTTCTTATTTTAACCAAGGCTGAGCAAAAAGCCTTTTGGCCATTAAAATTTTACAGAAAATGTGGAAAAGAAAAGTTTATAAAGAACAGATAGACCTCACTGGCATTCAGAGAAATGCTTTACACTTTTTAGAATGGCACTCTTCCTCTCTTTCTTCTCTCTCTCTCTCTCTCTACATATATGTGTGTGTGTATATATATATATATATATGTTAAAACCAAATGTTGTCCAACATGGGGAAGCATGAACTCTTATGCACCGCTTATGAGAGCGCAAACTGTATAGCCAATCTACACAGCAATTGGCAGTACTTAAAGACCCAGTGGTCTGTGTCCTCAGTGATCCACTCTAGGGGATAGATATATTTGTCACTTCATCTTTTTGTGGTAGCAGAAAGCTGAAAGCAATCAAGGTCTACCACTCAGGGAACAGATAAGTAAGTGACTTATTACACAGTGCTTATGTAGCAGCAAAAAACAATAAACTAAATGACCATACAACAACATGTTGAGAGTTTAAAAATCTAGGTTTGAAGACAAAAATGTAAGGAACAGGAATAGTCTTATCATATTACCTCTTAGGTGAATTTAAAACAGATGCAAACAGGAGAAACACCAAACATTTTACATGGCTATATGTATATTTGTATGTATATTTTGGACATATTAGAATGAAAACCTATTAGGGGTGGGTGAAAGTGGGGATAGATTTAGACCATAGATCCTTAGTAGTTATCAAAATTGATTTCCTGAGATTATTGGCTATTCTAAACCTACTTATACAATTTTTCCTTCAGAAATAATAATCCTTAATACTAAAGCAGATATGATGTTTTACTTTATCATCACCCAACTTCATTAGTGCTTTAGACTTTATGTATTTCTAAGGAATAAGATATGTTTAAATTTTAGTATTTTTCCCTCTTTTCCTATGTTAATGGAATGGACAACTATATAATTATTATTTTTAATTTAATATATTGTGGATAATATATAGACCAAATAAAATAAAAGAATAATATATGAGAGCATGCCTATATGAATCAATAATATCATGCACGATGAAATGAGGAGTGTGATCATTCAATTTGAAACCTTGAGGTTCAAAAGAAAGAAAAAAAAGGGGGGGGAAGGATGAATGTGAGGAAAGAAAAATGGAAGGAACAAAAAGTCAAGCCTATGAAAGAATTTTGAAAAAAAAATCACATTATGGACACAGTTGTATAAACTTTCCTGTGGTGGCTATAATTCATATCATATTTCTAAGAATGTCAGCTTTGGTTTACTGGAAATTTCAGGGACATTAGAGTACTGAGTTAGAATCCTTTTCTCTGCAACCGTAATTCTCTGAGTTTCAGTATTTTACAGAAAAATACATCTTAGTCATTGAGCTAACATGTACCAGATGCACAGCAAGGATTTAATAAGTGGTAGCTCTTTTATGTTTCTGTTAACATATGTGTATATGTCAATCTGCTCGCTCATATTGTCTATCTAGAAAAAAATTCAGTATAAAAAATACATTATCTGAAATTCAGATACTTGAATCTGATTTTACTACTAAAATAATAGTGTCTTTATAAAAATTATACCATTCCTTTCCATTTAGTAACAAGCTCTTTGATAAGCTCTTAAAATGTTTTAGGATTATTGTGTGCTAAAAAGTTTGATCCAACGAAAAAGATATATTGCTTACCTATGAATCCAAGTATTGAAAACTCAATATAAACCCAATTATTTGAAGTGATATTATGTACAAAATCTGTTATTTTAGTAAGGTACATCTTTTTAGCTATGATATCATCTTCTAGCTGGAAAAAAAAAAAAGCCCCAAAAGGCATTAGTACATTTAGTGCTTCCATTGAGCAAGTTATATTATCTTGAAAATAAAAAATACTTATAGTAGAATATACTGAAGAAAATGTCTTTATGAGGTAATAATTTTATTTATTTATTTTTAAATTTTTTATTTGTATTTTTTATTTTTTTGTCACCCAAGTTAGAGTGCAGTAGTGCGATCATAGCCCACTGCAAGCTCAAATTCCTGGGCTCAAATGATCTTCCTGTCTCAGCCTCCTGAGTATCTGGGAATACAGGTGTGCACCATCATTCCTGGCTAATTTTTTCATATTTTGTAGAGACGAGGTCTCACTATGTCGCCCAGGCTGGTCTTGAACTCCTGGCCTCAAGTGATCTTCCCATTTCAGCCTCCCCAAATGCTGGGATTACAGGCATGAGCCACCGTTTCCAGCCAGTAGTTTTATTTTCAGTTCAATCTACTGAGAGTATATATAGGTAGTCAATTTTTTTTAAATCAAACCTTTTTTTATTGGATCTTTGAAATAAGAGAATGGTGAGACAGAAATGAAAACATCAAATGAAAATATAAATGTGCCAAATTAGTTTTTAAGTATTCTACATTTCTCCCACTATTATATTAGAGTAGATCTATGAAAACATTACTTTTTTCTTTTTATCGGTGTTGGGCAGGTGGGGGGGAGGGGATGGGTATATACACACATAATGAGTGCGATGCGCACCACCTGGGGGATGGACACACTTGAAGCTCTGACTCGAGGAAGGAGGGGAGGCAAGGGAAATATACATAGCCTTAACATTTGTACCCCCATAATATGCTGAAATTAAAAAAATATATCATTTTTTGATTCTGAGATTAACCAGACCAGAGATTGTCCCTTTCCTAAATACTAATTTGTAACATTCCATCTAAATCCTTTTTTTCTTTAGAATTTTTTATTTCCCATATTATGGAGGTACAGATTTTAAGGTTTCAATAAATGCCCTTTTCCCCCTCCCCCCACAAGTCTGACTTTCCAGCATGACCATCCCCAGATGGTGCACATCTCACTCATTATGTATGTATATACCCGCCCCCCCCCCTCCACCTGCCCAATACCCTATTACTGTAGACCTATGTGTCCACTTAGGTGCTGCTCAGTTAATACCAGTTTGCTGGTGAGTATATGTGGTACTGGTTTTTCCATTCTTGGGATACTTCACTTAGTAGTATGGGTTCCAGCTCTAACCAGGAAAATATAAGATGTGCTATATCACCGTTGTTTCTTAGAGCTGAATAGTACTCCATGGTATATATACCACATTTTTAATCATTCTTGGATTGATGGCACTTGGGCTGTTTCCACAGCCTTGCGATTATGAATTGTGCTGCTATAAACATTCGAGTGCAGGTGTCTTTTTTGTAGAGTGTCACTGGATCTTTTGGGTCATCTAAATCCTTTTTGAAAAACTCTCTTTATCTGAACCCATTTTTATCCTCACAAATACTTCAGTTTCTAGTTTAAGACTGTCTTTGTCCAATCAGGCCATTAAAACAAAATACTATAGACTGGATGGTATTATAAATAACATTTATTTCTCACAGTTCTAGAGACTAAGAAGTGCAAGATCAAGGCAGATTTGTGTCTGCTGAGGGTTCATTCCTCAAAGACAGCACATTCTCCCTGTGTCCTTCCATGGTGGAAGGGGCTAGCTAGCTCTCTGAGGTCTCTTTTATAAAGGCACTAATACCAAACATGAGTCCTCATGATCTAATCACCTCCCAAAAGCCCCACCTCCAAATACCATCACCTCAGGGGTGAGGATTTCAGTATATTAATTTTGGGAGGAACACAAACATTTAGACCATAGCAAAGACTGACCAGCTTTATGCCTGAGATGATAGGTGCCATGTTCTATCTCCAGATATCATGGTTGGCAAAGTAGTTCTTGGCAAAGCGAAGACCAAAGTGAACATGGGACTCTTATTCATACCAACCTGGTTAGAATGGTGGTGTAAGCTATCCCGAGAAAACCCACCATGAGAGAGGGGGACAATGGAAGTAAGAATTTTCTTTCTTATTTAATATATATTATGCATGATGTGTAGGTTAAGAGGGTCTCCTAAGTGATTCAGAAAAAATGTGGGAGTCCTCAGGCACATTACTAGTGCACAGAATAGAATTGTGTTTCAAATTGGGAATAGTACATTGGCTGGATCTCATTGGGAATAGTTACATTGCCACCAACTAGAAATCAAAAGGGATATTTTTTTTCTTCCAATAAAAGAGAAGATCTTGCTTAGGCCTGTAGCTTTGTCTCCAGTCTCCAATGATATTCTGCAAACTCTTCTCACAGGTGCACATTGGCTATGTAGTAAGATGCACTAGTAGTAGAGCTACCATTTACTACTGGGAAGCATAACATTATTATTTAACAATATTCAGGAATTTAGGGGGCACAAGCTATGTATAATTCATTTATTTTTACAAATACAGTAAGGTATTGCAGAACTGTGTTACTGGTGGGGCGTGGCAGCTCACGCCTATAATCCTAGCACTCTGGGAGGCCAAAGTGGGAGGATCACTGGAGGTCAGGAGTTTGAGACTAGCCTGAGCAAGAGCAAGACCCCATCTCTACTAAAAATAGAAAGAAATTAGCCAGACAACTAAAAATATGTAGAAAAAATTATCTGGGCATGGTGGCGCATGCCTGTAGTCCCAGCTACTTGGGAGGCTGAGGCAGAAGGATCCCTTGAGCCCAGGAATTTGAAGTTGCTGTGAGCTAGAAATGTAGGCAGTACAATTTCTAACTTTATACTAACGAGACTTTCTTTTCGGTTTGTTCAGGTAACTATAATTTCCTCTGTAATTGTGAATTTAGTAAGAAGATTAATATATAATCAATTTTAAGCTTTTTTGGGCAATATAATATAATGAATATTTTCTGAGTACAAAGTAAAGTGGAAGAGCACAGTGAGGAAGGAAGAAATTAAACAAGGGAGGAAGAAAATAATGCTTTCAATTTAAATTATACCAAGTTATTACCTGTAAATAATACATGGCCTTGGGTTGCGCATACAGCATCAAAATGCAAAAATCCAATACTTGTTTGACTTTCCGACTAAAGAAAAACAATAAGATCTGTTAATATTTGTCATTGTTATTTAATTTTATTTATAAGCACACTTTAGGAATTAAAACACAAACACCTATACAGTTTAGTAACTGAGTGCTACCTACATTAAGTAAAACCAAATATATCTGCACTAAAAAGTTACATTAAAAAGTTTCCCATCTTTATTCAATGGATAGTGTCAGCCATTCCTAAACTAGGATAAGCATAATCTATTTATTTTATATATTGGTTAGTTAGATTTTGATCTAGGTAATAAAGTTATTAATTACCTAGTCTATAATAGTCTTTCTGATCTTAGGTCTCGTTCAAATGAAAATGTAAAGAAACTTTATTCTAATTTAATAAGAACCTAGTTACTAGGCCAGGTCCTAAAGATACAAAGGTAGTTCTTGCCCTTCTGGGTCTCAGACCTAGGATGAAAAGACAAAAAAATAAAATAAAATAAAATTAGAACAATTAGATGAGTGCTATGTGAATATATCAACAATGATGACTATTTTACAATAAAATGGAGAGTGTGGAGCAGAAAGAGCTCAGGCATGCTATAAAGATGAACAGTATTGCGAAGGCATGAAGAGTGACAGAGCATGCCACTTCATTTCAGGGCACAGAGAGCTGATGGAAAAGAAGCTGATGATGGCAAGGTTGGCAGAGACCAGATCATGTAGAATCTTTTATGACATCTGGAAAACTTTAGACTTGATCTCGTATGAAGAAAAGTTTTCCTGGCTATAGTACTGAGAATGGATTGAAGGAAAGGCTAGGCTAGGCTAGGATGAGGGAAAGCAAATAGATTTGTAAGTCTCAGGTTACAAAATCAATGTACAGAAATCAGTAGCATTTCTATACACCAACAACAGTCAAACTGAGAATCAAATCAAAGACTCAATACCCTTCACAATAGCAACAAAGAAAATAAAATACCTAGGAATATATTTAGCTAAGGAGGTGAAAGACCTCTACAGGGAGAATTACAGAACAATGAGAAAGGAAATAGCAGAGGACGAAAACAGGTGGAAAGCCATGCCATGCTCATGGGTCAGCAGAATCAACATTGTTAAAATGTCTTTACTACCCAAAGTGATCTACAGATTCAATCCAATCCCCATTAAAGTACCAACATCATATTTCACAGGTCCAGAAAAAATAATTCAATGTTTCGTATGGAACCAGAGAAGAGCCTGTATAGGTTAAGCAATCCTAGGCAAAAAGAACAAATTGGGAGGCATCAATTTACCAGACTTTAAGCTATGCTACAGGCTATATTAACTAAAACACATGGTACTGGCACAAGAACACAGACACAGACCAATGGAACAGAACTGAGAACCCAGATAATAAAACCATGCTCATATAGCCATCTAAACTTTGACAAAGCAGACAAAAACATACACTGGGGAAACGAATCCTTATTCAATAAATGGTGCTGGGAAAATTGAATAGTCACATGTGGAAGACTGAAACAGGATCCACATCTCTCACCTATCAGAAAAATTAACTCACGGTGGATAACAGACTTCAACCTAAGGCATGAAACTATAAGAATTCTAGAAGAACATATTGGAAAAACTCTTATAGACATTGGCCTAGGCAAAGAATTTATGAAGAAGATTCCAAAGGCATCACAGCAACAACAAAAATAAATTAATGGGACATGATCACGTTAAAATGAAGACAACCTACAGAATGGGAGAAAATATTTGCACACTGCACATCTGATAAAGGGCTGATAACTAGAATCTATATGGAACTCAGGGAAATCAGCAAGAAAAAAATCAAACAACTCCATTAAAAAGTGGGCAAAGGACATGAACAGAAACTTTTCAAAAGAAGACAAACTAATGTCCAACAAACATACAAAAAATGCTCAACATTTCTAATAATCAGGAAAGTGCAAATCAAACCACAATGAGATGTCATTTAATTCCAGTGAGAATGGCCTTTATCAAAAAATCCCAAAACAATAAATGTTGATGTGGATGCAGAGAGATAGCTGGTGGGACTGCAAACTAGTACTACCTCTGCGTAAAGCAATATGAAGATACCTCAAAGCACTAGTAGTAGATCTACTATTTGATCCAGCAATCCCATTACTGGGCATCTACCCAAAAGAACAAAAGACATTCTATAAAAAAGACATCTGCACTCCAATGTTTATAGCAGCACAATTCACAATTACAAAGATGTGGAAACAACCCAAGTGCCTATCAATACATGAGTGGATTAATAAAATGTGGTATATGTATACCATGGAGTTCTACTCAGCCACAAAAAGCAATGGTGATCTAGCACCTCTTGCATTATCATGGACAGAGCTGGAGCCCATTCTACTAAGTGGAGTATCACAAGAATGGAAAAAAAAGCACCTCATGGGCTTACCATCAAATTGATACTAACTGATCAACACTTATGTGCACATATGGTAGTAACATTCATCGGATGTTGGGCAGGTGGAAGGAGGGGGGAAGGGATGGGTATATTCACACCTAATGGGTGTGGTGTACACTGTCTGGGGGATGGACATGCTTGAAACTCTGACTTGGGTGGGGCAAGGGCAATATATGTAACCTAAACATTTGTACCCCTGTAATATGCTCAAATAAAAAAAGAAGTTTTGAGGGACCAAAGTAATATATTTCCCATAATATCACATTTATTACCAAAAAATTATAATCCTTTATTTGTATATGGAGCTTTTTTCAAAATTCTTTCATGAATATATTTTATCCTCATAATGAGTCTTCCAAATATGTAATATAGATTTCATACAAACTAGAAAGTTGGGGAAACTAAGGGGAAAAAGAGCTAAATTACCTGTTTAGGATGACCAGCAAACAGAGGAGCTGGGACTAGAATCCTGGTGCAATAATTTATTTTCCTAGGCTCCACCTCCCCCCACTTTATTATGCCTTTGCTAATTGTTGTCTATAAATGTGAACATGGATAATCAGTGGTGTGCTGGTAAATGTTTAACAACTGACTTGTGGGTGGAGGGATGGAGATCCCTGATTTGCAGCTTTTGCCCACTTCCATGGTGTAAATATCCTGCTATGGCTCATGCTTATCAACTTGATGTCACTGAACACAGAGTTGGGAAGTGATGCACTTACTCACTTCTTTCAAGCCAATAGGAGATGGCTGGACACACCACTGTGTTTGAAATAGTACATAGTAGATGCTGATTCCAAAATTTTATTAAGTTGTTTTTAAGAATACTATTTCCTAATATGTCATACCTTTGAGTTTTTTGTGAGTCCTCAGTTAATTGTTTGGCATTTGAAATGTTTGGATAAAGAAAGGTAGGTATTGAAATGACCTCTAAGGAACCAGACTTCACTTGCCTTTTGAATCTATAAATAGAAGTAAATGGAGGCTTGTAATTGAATATTTAATTTACCAAAATAACAGATACTTAAAAATAGTTTTCTTATGCATGTCCATATATTTAATTTGAATTATTTCACATGTTGATACATGATATAATATCAACATCACAAAACTAATATATTATAGCTAAATTATTTCTTTCATAAATTAATAACATGAAAAAATTAAAATATGCAATATAAATTTATTTCCTCTTATAAAAATTATAGATACTTGGAATTGTTTTTTAACTTTTCAATCATATGTGTTCTCTGACATTCAAAACAATGGAACCAATGGGTTATAATAAAGTAACTACAAGAAAGTAAGAACATTAGATCATTTTTAAATGCATAATTTTGAATTTAAAAAGTCCTACTGAATAGCAATGTGGCTCCTGAAATGAGACTACCACAGCATGCCCAGATTAAGTCTGACTCTTGTCCACAACTCCCTGGAGGACTATGTATACTTTTTAACATCTTTATTTTTAAAAGTTACTATTGATAGACCAACAAGAATATCACTAAAATGCATAAAATCCTGTTCACAAACACTGTAATATAAATCTTGTACCATCAAAGTAAAAAATGGGAGACCAGAGAGAACATTTTAAATGATTTTCCTTTAGAGACAGATAATATGATTTTAAATAGGATTTAAATGTAGGCATTATATTATTTATTAAAATGTTAAAGTCTCAAGAAAATGGGCCTTTGTTTTATACTACATAAAAATTTAAAAAGCAGGACAAAGTTTTATAGTCATGATCTCAATTATATGCAAAATGAGCAGTCTTCACTTTGCACAATTCCAGTGCATAAATTTCAGTTACTATGTTTTAGTTAAATAATACCATTATCCCCCAATGACACTGTCAAAATTTTGGTGACCATGGTATATTAACTCTGAATAATTGTGTAAAGTAAAAACTTCACTGCTAGCTCTTCATAATAACAAATATCTACATAATAACAGATGCACATCATCATCAGTAACTAATAACATCACTTCTCTCAAAGTTTGTTGGTGATTGGTCATTGTGCATCTGTTATTTAGTTCACTTGCAGACCACATAACTTGTAGTTGTGTTGCCCTGTCTCCCAGTAATAAACAAACTCACATGACATTTAACAAAAATGGGCAATCGAAAGAGTGAATTGGCTGACAGATGAAAACACAGAGAGTGAACACTGGAAGTGAATTTGGATGTGATTATAAGACAGCTGATCATGAGAATGTCGACACTTTTGTTGTTTGAGAGATTTTAGATATGCAACAAAGGGAACTTAGTGAAGGTGAACTTAAATGACATAAATGAGAAAAACGGTTGCATCGAAAAGTATGTTACATGGGAAGTGACACTGCTAATAAAACTTCATATCAAAGGAACTCTCGGAGATATTTCATGACATTGAAAATGCAAATGATAAAATAAAATGTTGGAACCTGGAAAAGTTGGAATCCAAACTTAGAAATGAGTATAACAATTTGCCAAAGCATAGAAAAGATGTTCACTCTGTATTTTAAATTATATGACAAGAAGGAGGCAAGCAGTATTTATTAAACTATTCTTGACAAATATTCTAAAATAAATAAAATATTTCAATACTCAATAATTTTGATGTTTTAAATGACCGTGTAATGTTGTGATCTTTACAGTACTTTTCATTTTTCTACATGTTTATAGTTGACAGTAAGAGAGTAATGTTTTGACAAATGTTTAAAGGTCATGGAACAATTATGATTTTGCCCACTGATTATAAATATCACCTCTCATGGTTTCAACTTGCATGATCATTTTCACGGCCCCACACTATCTTGTAAATCAAGGATTACCTGAGTTTGTATAAACACATACAAATACACGCATGGAAGAAGGTACATATTCTATAATGGGTATGTAACATGAGCATTACACGCCCATTACATACTCACTATGGGAATATACTGTGCTTAACAGAATGTGAGTTTTAGACCCAGAAAATTCTCTGTGCCAATTTTGTTTCTTTCACTTACTGACCTTGAGCAAGTAATTTACTTTCTATGACCTTCAATTTCCTCATCTGTAAAACTGGAATAGTAATACATACCTTTTTGAGAAAGAACTTAGAAAATACATGCTGGAATTCTTCCCAGCCTCTATGCATTAGTGGAAGAGTTCCTGGTTCTTTATTTTGGGCAGAGTATATTGGAGGAGCGGAGGGGATGGAAGTCTTACTGGCTGCCCTCAGATTTTATGGTATATTAAATGGAAAGATTTTAAAAAACTAATTCTGATATGTTCCTTGGGAAGTAGAAAATATTGGTATGGTTGATTGCTTTGTGATAAAAATTAGAAACAATGTCTAAATTGTTAAGTGAAGTTGTATAACTTTAAACCACAAGACTTGGTGAAGCAATTTAGAGTAGCAGAGGCAAATGAAAATAACATCTAGTGTCAGTATACACAATCATCAAAAAGTCTAGATCGCAGAGGTTAGTAAGTTTTATCCTCTAGAAAATTTCATCCAAAGTCCAAAACCATCAAAGGTTAAATTACAAGTAATTTCTACCATGATGATGTAATTGGTATCCTTGTAGGGGATTCTTGACAAATCAGTTAAAAAGAAGGCAGAGATTTACAAATGATTCCTGGGTCTATATGACTGCATAGTTGCAAGCCTTTTGAAGATCACTCAGAAAATTATAGTATGTGGTTATTCAGTCATTTGTGTATTTCATTTGCATCAATGTCACTGTCTAACTTTCAGTGGTACTGAGATTGCTGAGAGGTGCAGGTGAGCTAACTTGATCCCTTCCTGCTGATTGCTTATTTGCACCTGTTTGCTCTCAGTCCATCTTATTACACTTCCGTTCTGGCTGGTGCATGCTAGGGGGTTCTCTTCCTATCTAGCTACCAGTTGGCTTCTGTCCGTGGGAAGCAGTAACCGACAAGAGACTGGAAGGCAGTGGAAGATGTTTTTCCTCCTTTTAATCTCTGGCGAGGTCTCCAGCAGCACCCAGCTGGAGCAGCAGTGATGTGGGCACTGGCAGGAGTGGCCGAGTTAAGCCAGCTCAGGCAGAAACGGCCATCCAGCACCTGCCGGATCAGTTCCAACGGTGCAGCGGCAGGAGTAGCCCAACATCTCATCTCTTGGTTTGACTCCCTCTACTTTCATGCTTCTGTCCCCTTTCTTCTCCCTTTGTCCTCCCAGCCGTTTTAAACTTGTTTCAACCAATTCTTTGTGTGAGATTCCCTCTTTTCCCTCTATTTGAACTACCAAGAGTTTTCCTGTTTGGAAAACTGGTACCCTTTCCCTGTGAAGTTCCCCATCCACTTGTCACTTGATGACATGCCTCAAGTGGTGATTTTCTGAGCCTATTGAGTTTACGGTTATCAGCTGGAATTCTTTTGCCTCGAGTAACTTTGCCTCATCCACTAGAGGACTTTGCTAGGGAAAAACAAAACAAAGCAAAAACACTTTGCTGGCTAAACCAAACACATCTATTAGCCAGATTCAGCTTGAAGGCCGTAACTGCAACCCTAGTCTATAGCACAAAGTGCATAGTCCTTAGCATGGGACATAAAGCCCTTTGTGATCTCACCATGACCTACCTATCTCCTGCCAATCCTTCCTCCCTCCCCCCAAACATCCATGTTCCAAAATTTATATTCAAAATTCTGGCATGCTTCCTCTTGGGCTCTCTGTCTTCCCAAGTAATTCTACTTGCCAGGCATGACACCTTTCTCCTCTTGTCTGTGAGGAATGTCTACCTATACCTTTAGACTCTGCTTAATTATTACCTTCTCTAGAAAGTTCTTTTTGATAGCTGCAGGTAGAGTTAAATACTTCCCCCTCTATATATTCTCATATTGCCCTACCCATACGACTGTGATAATGCTAGCCTCCTTGCTGTGATTTGGTTTTTTGCAAGTTGTATGGCTCACTTGAACATGAGGATTTGAAAGGTTGGGTCCATTCATCTCACTTGATGAAATAACTTTATATTAGTTCATCAGTATGTGTTTTGGCTGCTTGCAAAACTGAAGGAAATTGTAAGCAGAAGTGGTGAAGTAACTTCATAGAGAAAAGAATACAAAAATGTTTTAAAAACAATTTAGTAGGCTTCTCTCAGAGGCCAAAGAGTCCCTGGAGAACCGATATTTTAACAATTACAGCATGAAAAATATGAATTCTAATAGATTGATAACCTGCAAAGTTGGGGAAAATCATAAGCTGTACTTAATCACACCTTAGAAAGAACTACAGGTTCTTTGTGCAAAGCTACACTCATTTAAAAGAATATATACAATAATACAATTGGGCAGAAAAAAATAGGATAGAAAAATGAAAGAGTGGCTAATTTTAAAATTGATCAGACAGTACTTACTTTTTTGTAATCATGCGAACAACATATTGTAAATAATCTTCATTACTCTAAAAAGGAGAAAAAGTATTTTACTAAAACTAAGCATGCCTCACAGTTTTATTAATGCAACATTTTTGCCGCATATAAATCTAATTTATGTGTGGAGTGCCATTAGGCACTGATAATTTCTGGCGTTTTCATTTTCTATAAGAGAAATTTAGAATACATATGTGTTGAAATAATGTGATTTAAACACAGAAAATATTCATTCATCTCCCCTTGCCACAGTATAAAATATTACTATCCATTATTTACACTTAAAAATTAGTACACAAAATCGTATGTGTCTAAAAATGTTTTGCTCTGAAAATGGTCATCTAGGAATGGCTTATTTCAAGGAGCTACTCTTTTTAAAAACTACTCTTCATTTAATGAGTATTATACAACAATAAGCTTACTTCAAAATGACACCATATTTTTCCAGACAGTATTACTCAGCTTGATTTCCAATTTTTTTTCTGTCAATAAACTTTGTGGACCTGCTCTTCATTGAACAGTGTGCTAGATTAAATGATAGACTCATTTGTAAAATGCTTTTGATGGTTCATCCTCTTGGGATGATTTTTTTTTTTTAAATAACTGATGGCATTTAATAAGCTGCAGCCTCAGGGGCCATAAGCATTTCCAGTATAAAATTCTGAAACAGTAGAACAAAGACAGTTCTGTTCTCCAATGTAAGTGCTCTTAAAGGCAACTCTGAATGTATATACTCAGGTTGTTTGTTTCAAAATATCTGACATGATGTAGATAAATCTATTATAGTACTTGAGGTTCTTAACCAGAAGTTGAATCACTGGCTGTTTCACACACTGAAACATACTATATTTTAAACATAGTACTACTAAAGTTATACCTCTTAAGCATTCTACATTCTATTTTTATACTTTTCCCCCAGTATTTTTATTATTAGTCTAAACATTTTAGGCAGATGTGCATTGTCCCAACAGCAAAGAAATAAAGATTATAATATGGAAAATAAGAAAATCTAACAAAACATTTTGGAGATTTTGTGCATGCTTTTTTAATATTAAGAAATTAAACTGGGATAGAACACTTGATCTTTTGTTTCTATTTTTCCTATTAGTTCTTGTATTGCTTGTTTTGTTTAGAGTTTTTTCTGCACTCAAATACATCTTTATTATAGAAAATTCAAGCAACAAAAAGAAGAATAAAAAAAGGATAACAAATATTCCTCTAATTATCAGTATTCATAGATGGCCATTATTTGCATTTTGGAGACCATCATTTCAAGTTTGCTCATTCTCTTTTTATCTTTATACATTTCATCTGTCTGTATATCTTTTTCTCCTCCTTTCCTTTCTTCCTTCTTATTTTACATAGATAATATTATGTCAAAGGTACTGCTTTACGTGTTTTTTTCACTCAATATGATATGAACATCACTTCATATCAGTGAGTATAGGTATTTATTCCTCCTTCAATGCCTACAGAGTATTGCCTTGTAGAGATGCATAGCAAAGTATTTAAACAGCCTCTTGTTGATAGATATTTTGTTTGTTTCCAATATTATACTTTCATAAAGCAATAGTGCACTGAAAATCCCTGAAATAATTATTTATTGAGTGCTTACTCTGTGCCATGCATCATTCTGAGTCCTTTCAACATATTAGCTAACTTCATCTGCAAACAACCCATGACATAGGCAATATTACCATCACAATTTTACAGATAAGGAAAGTGAGGCATAGAGAAGTTACGTAAGTTGTTCAAGCTCACAAGTCACAAGTGGAAAAGCTGGCATTTGAACCTTGGTAACCAGGATACAGAGTCTGTATTCTCAACTACCAAACTATGCTGTCTTACTTTTATTGTTTTTAAACATTAGTCTGATTATCTTCTTAGGGTAAGTTCCCAGAATTTGGATTTCTTACACAAAGGATATATACATTTTAAATTTGACAGATGTTGCCAAATTTCTCTGCAAAAGGCCTTATGGTGTTAATATTCACACAGTATTTTGTAGTTTTAAGTAGTGTTATGAGCAAAACAGAGGTCTTTGGAGCCATTAGACAGACCTAGATTTGAATCCTTTCTATGAATTACTGGACAAGTTACTTTCTTTAAGCTCTAGTTTCTTCATTTGTAAATCAGGATATAATTTACATGGATATAATTCTTTATATCCTACTTTACATGGATATAATTCAGGTAATAAATAATGTCTATAAAAATCATCCTTGATCCCTTGGGTATAAGAAGGAGTCCCTGAATTAATGGTAGTTACTGTTACTTCATATAAATTATCTCTTGATTATTTCTTGATAACCTTTTATTGGGTTGGGCAAATTTTATTACTATAGCATCAATTATAATGTGGTTCTTTTGTGTGTTATTTCTGTACCATACAGTAGGCAGGGATTGTATATTAAATGCAATTCAAATTAAACAGTCTTAAATGCCCCACATTAAACCATTATGTTTTTAGATTTACATGGTTAATTCCTTCTCAGTGGTTTCAAACAAGTATTAAATATATTGTCTGCTATCGGAAAAAAAGGTATCCATGGATTGCTTTTTTACATTTAAGAAAAAGATTTCAAAATGGTCCAGTGATTACCATTGAGGGAAGGGAATTTGGAGACCAGAGGGTCAGCGTAAGGGGAGCTCCTTATTTTTCATACGTACATCTGCAATAGCGACAATCACCACAGAGTCCTTTTCTTCTGAAGGTGTCATCCTGGAGAGAATCGAGGTCAGTGTTTGCTTCAGGTAAGTATAATTTCCTCTGCTGACAGTGGGAATGCCCAGTGCAAAAGACACTGCAGACATGGGAGTATGACATCATCATTTCAAACCACAGAGAAAAAGATAACTTAGCATTAATTTGATGCTTATTTCTATGTTTGGGTTAGTCTTGTGGTCACAAAAAGCGTGTTTGAAACTGTACTACGAAGATAATTTCAAACTATGTTAATTTGTATCACCTATGTCATTTTCTGTTTGAAGAAATTCCAATTTGTAGTGGATTGTTAGTAAATGTATTAAATGGACTCCAAATAATAATCAAAAATAAACATAATTAAAAATGAATAAATAAATAATAAATTTTGGTGTAGTGAAAATAAAAGTAACTACTTTCTACTTATAGCTTTCACCTAACTGGGTAAAAATGTCACACATTGGCCGATTCTCTACTCTTCTTTCTAAAAACACACTGGAGCCCAAAGCAAGAAAAATACTATGAAATATTTTAATCTATGAAAAAATAATAGGGAGTAATTCTAAATGATTTTATGGAATGAATCTACGCCCCTAAGTGATGTTTATTGCCCAACAATGACTGGAACACTGTGGAGATTAGGTCCCACATTATCCTAGATCAGGTGTTCTCAAACTACAACCTGTGGGCCACATGCTGCCCACCAAGGACATTTATCCAGCCCACTGGTGTTTTTGCTGCTGCTGCCTGTTCTGCTTAGCAGCCGACTCGTCCCGGGCCCACAGTGCGCACCCTCCAATGGTCTGAGGGACAGGGAACTGGCCTCTTGTTTAAAAAGTTTGAGGACCCCTGTCCTAGATAGATGCTAAGATTTTATGAAGGAAGTTTGTCCAAACTCAATGTTGCCTGTACCAGTGCCAGGCTGTATGAGCTTAGGCAAGACATACAGACAGTCTCTCCAGCCTCAATTTCTCCACCTTGAAAATGGGGATAAGGACTTTCAAAATGGCTAAATGAGGAACTCAGAAAATCCTCTTCCTAAAATATAGTGATAAAACTGAAAAACATTGTCAAAACAATCATTTCAGAACCCTGGTATACAACAAACTGAGAAGTATTTATTTAAGAAAAACTATTGAACTTTGATAACAGTAGGAATAAGTATTTTCCTGATTATTATTGAGTTTGAACATGTTTTCATATGTTTACTGGCCTTTGGATATTATTCTCTTTTGTGAAATCTCTGTTTAAGCTCTTGCCCTCTATTGAATTGCCTGCATTTTTCTTATTGATTTATTGATGCTGTTTATATATTCTGAATGTGAGTCCTTTGTCATTTATATGACTTACAAATATCATCTCCCTCTCTTGGGTCTTTTTCAGTGTTTTGCCCCTTGATGAATAGAAATTCTTAATTTTAATGTAGTATAATTTATCAATCATTTCCTTTATAGTTCATGCTTTTTGAGTCCTGTTGAGAAACCTTTGCTTATCTTCAGTTCATAAGATATTGTCCTGAGTTACCTTCTAGATGGTTTATTGTTTGCCTTTCATATTTAAAGAAAGGCATCTGGAATTCATCATTTTGGATGATGTGAGGAAGGAATCAAGTTTCAAGCTGAGGGATCCACCATAAATGCAATTCCTAGAATGCATTTACAAGAGTTTACAAGGCTCTTAGTGACTGGATCCATCCTATCTCTTCTGTTTCAACTACCTCATCTTCTCAAATTGACCACATACCACCTCTTACCTCCAGGCCTTTGCACATGCCATTCCTTTTTGCCTACAACACTCTTCTTCCTCTGATTCCCTTTGCTAATTCTATTCATTCTCCAGAGTTCAACTAAATAGTCATTTTGACCACAAATTTATACTTACCCCTTTCTAATGAAGCTGAGTGGGTCAGCTGTGTATTCTTACCTCGTCTCTCACAGCACTCATCACCTGTGTTGTTGTTACTCATTCCTGGCTATTAACAGAATGTCAGTTTGGTGAGAGCAGACTGCTTGTCTGTTACTCACATTATGTAATAAATCCAGCACTAATATAAAGACTGATACATAGTAATGCCAATAAGTTTGGGGTGAGTAAATGAATGGCCAGGCCCCTTCATCATTGGGCCACTGTCCCTGGTCTTGCTACTGATAACTTCCAGCTCCACTTGTGCATGCAAGCCACACGTTCTTTCTAGGCCTTCTTGCTGTTGGACCTTCACACATTTCTTTTCCTCTACCTGGATGAGCATCCTCCACCACTTATCTCTTCCCTGCTTAACCTATTCCAATTCTTTTTCCCTTCACATCACTTATATGGCACTTCCTCCAAAGAGTGTCCCCTAATTCCCCTAGTATAGGTTTCTGGCCCCTCCCTAGTATTTTCCTCAGGTCACTTTACATTATAATTACTGTATCATTTGTCTCTATGAGGGTGGGGTCCATGTCTTGTTCTCCATTATGTCCTCAGGGCCTAACAAGTGCCCAGAACAGAGGAGAAGCTTATTAAATGAGGGGACGTGAGATACTTTACAAAGAAGTTGTCATTTAAGCTGAAAAGTCATATAGCTTAAGGGAGTCACAAGACAATCCGTAGTGGGTTGACAGGAAGTGATGCGTTCATCATAGGCAGTGATCAACACATGAAAAATACATGGAGATTTGGCCTATTTGTGAAAACTGCAAGTGGTTTGGGATTGCTGGAAAGGAGAGGAGTGGCAGAAATAGAGATGTGAAAGATATAACCCATTGAGCATATATACCTGTCAAGGAGCTAACTTCAACCCATGTGCACTGAGGATCTGTGGAAGGGGTTTTAAGCAAGAGTCAAGCATATCCGTTATGAATTTTAGTAACATATCTCTGAGGAAAGTATGAAGAATAGATTCACTTTAGTAATACTAAATCCAGGAGGAAAATTACAAGTCTATTTCAATAGATCAGGCAAGAAATGAGGGGCTCAATTAAAAATAGTTATAGGGGGCTACAGAGAGCAGAAATCATCTGAGATACACTCAGAATATAGAATAAATAAGACTAATGATGGATTCCTCAGGAGGCCATGGCAAGGGCTTCAATACTTTTGCATATGTTTTATGTGTTAGGATCTTTTAGTTGCTAGGAAAAAAATCTCCCTCCAGTTGCCTCTGGAAATTGAGAAAAGCCACAAAAGGGGCCTCCAAAGAAGGATAAGTGCATATTTATAAACATATGCAAATATATGCATAAGGCTGGAGATCAGGAAATATTTGGGGAATTAGAAAATTATTTAGGATTTAACACAGCTCTGATCACTGGGTGATCACTGCCCCAGATAAGGAGTTTTATGGCTCCTCCCAACCACCACCATCTCTTTCCCTCCTTCCTTTTACCCTATACACTGGGCTTCTGCTTATAGTTGCTGATGCTTATCCAAGGCTATGTTTATTCTTGGTATCTAATTTCTTATAGTTTCTATGTATTTTTTCTGTGTCTTTCAATTTCTCCTTTTATGAACTATAGCTTTTGTCTAGCATGCACTCTCTCAAGAGGAAATCTTCTTCTGCAAGAGGAAATCTCATGCAGTCAAAGTGTTTTACAAGTGTGAATTCAAAAAGTTCCTTAATCTCTCTATTTTCTCAGGCATAAAATAGAGATGACAAAAATACGCCCTACTACATTGGGTTATGATGATTAAATGAGATAACGAAAGAAAATATAGAACTAAGTGGAACACAGTAAGAATTCAGTAGATGTTACACAATGTCACCTGGCCTCCCCACTCAACACAATAGGCTTGGGTAATATGTCAGAGACATGTGATACAAAACAATACTACATAGTCCCAAGGAACTGCCTGGAGCAGGGGTCAGCAAACTTTTTTGTAAATGGTCAAATAGTAAATATTTTTGGCTCCTGGGCGACACTATCTCTATGGCAACTACTCAACTCTGCCACTGTAGCACAAAAGCAGACATAAATAATAAGTATTGACATGTGAATAAGCATGGCTATGTTCAAACAAAATTGTATGTAAAAAAAGGCCATTGGCCTGGCCTACAGTGACTCATTAGAGTGAATGAGGCTTATGGGAATGGCAGGTACCCTGAGACTTGGCCTAATCTCCCCGCTTCAAATTCTAGAGCTTTTTCTTATCTTGTATACCTGGTGAACTTGAACTTATTCCTGGAGATTTAGCTTAAACATCACCTTTTCTATAAAGATTTGCTGAACTTGGTCCCCAGAAAGATGGGGAAATAGGAAGATAACTAGGAAAGAATAGATTTATCAAAACCAAAGAGAGTGTCAAGCACTTAGCAGATGCTTAATGTATATTTGACTTATATTGACTTATTTTCAAAGCATTTGTATTAAAATTGAATTTGAATTGAAGTCACCAAATAATTATGGAACTATTATTTTCTGCCAGACAACACTATACTGACTTTTGGCAACCCAAATTAATGCCAGATAGGCAGGTAGTCTACATACCAATCTAAGCATGATATTAATGGATTACATCTTAAAACTTAAAAGTATGTCCCCAAAGATCAAAATATCTATATTTAATTTTTCAATTCTAAGTTTTCTTACCACCTGTTTTCCCTTTGCCTATGACTACATCAGGATAAATTCTGCCTTCTTTCCTTAGATGAGGAAGAAAGAACTTTAAGTCTTCAAATGTGTTAGGTACTGCTTCATTTTTACTCAATTTACTCAGTTTCTTCTTAACTGAAAGAGAGGAAAAAATACTGCTTCTGAGTTTATCACTATAAGAATTTTTCTCCTTCCAGAATAATTTTTCTTACATGGAGATTAATAAATTAATTCACAGATAAACTTAGTATTCAATATATAAGAAAAATACTCTCAAATGTGAATTATCAAAATCACAATGCTACAAAATACAGCTGAAATATTATTGATTCATATTTATTTTAAAAGTAATATTTAATTTAAGCCTAGCACTATGAGCTGCACAACCAGAAGACAATAGAACTGCCAGTTCCAAATGAAGGCAGTAAACTGAAGCATGCTATTATTGGTTTCCTCTGCCACTTTGATTAATATAACTTCATTAAATTTTTTATATTAATAACTTTGTTTTCTAGACCCTTAATGTTTAATGACCATATTTATGCCATTCATTAGAATTTGCCTCTACAATTTTGAAAAAGACAAAGTTGGAAGACTCACACTACCCAGTTTTAACTCATAATACATGACATAGTAATCCAGACAGTGTAGTATTATATAAAATGTAGATATATAGACCAATGGAATAGACAAATAGAATGCAGAAATAAATTCACACAAATATAGTTGATTGATTTGAAAGGTGCAAAGGCAATTGAATGCAGAAAAGACAGTTGATAAATGGTGCTGGAACACATGGACATACATCCACGTGAAAAAAACTTAAACTTGATCTGTACCTCACACTGTTTATTAAAAATTAGCTGAAAAGTTTCATAGACATAAATGTAAAACATAAAACTATGAAATTTTTAAAAACCATAAATGAAAACCTTCATGGCTCTGAGTTAGGTAAAAAGGTCTTAGATACAATATGACAATACATAAAACAATACATAAAAGAAAAATTAATAAATTGGACATCAACAAAAATTAAGAATGTCCCCTGAAGAATCCCATAAAGAGAATGAAAAGACAAGCCACAGACTGGAGCAAAATATTTCCAAATCATGTATCCATCTAATATATACCCAGGATGATATATAGAACTATCAAAACTCAACAAGAAGACAAACCACTTGATTAAAAAACAGGCAAAAGATTTGAACAGATCTTTCACCAAAGATGATATCTGGATGGCAAATAAGCACATAAAATATTCAATACCATTAGTCACTAGGGAAATGCAACTTAAAACTCTGAGATATCATGACATTAGAATGGCTATAATAAACTAGAGTGACCAGAACTCTCTACATTGCTGCAGGGAATGAATAATGGTACAGCCACACGGAAAAGCAGTTTGGCAGTTTCTTACAAAATTAAACATATACTTACTATATACTCTATCCATTATACTTCTATATATTAATCCTAAAATAATGAAAACTTCTCTTCATACAAAAAAACATGTACATGAATGCTTATAGTAACATTTATTTGTAATCCTGAAAACAAGCCAAATATCCCTCAATTGGTCAGAGGATAAAAAAAAAAAAAAAAAACTGTATCCGTTGTACATCCATACAGTGGAATATTACTCAGTAATAAAAAGGAAACAAAGAACTGGTCATTCCACAACTTGGATGAATCTATGCTAAGTGATAAAAGCCAGTCTCAAAGGGCTGCACACTGCCTGATTCCATTTGCATGGCATTCTAGAAAAGGCAAAACCGAAGGAACAGAGAACTGCTCAGTGGTTGCCAAGGGTTATGAGTAGCAGAGGGATTTGAGTACAAAGGGAAGCATGGGGTAGGACTTCTTCTCCTGGAGAAATGGGGAGCCACTGAAGGTGTATATACACAACAGCGTAGCCTTTATTTTGGCTACAGCAATAAATCAGTGTGGATGAGATTGGAGAGAAGAGAGAAAAACTAGGAGTATGTTACTAGCCATTCAGATGAGGCAGGAAGGTGCCCTGCCTAGTGTGGTCGAGATTGTGATGGAAAATGTGGGCAGGTTTGTGAGATATATAGGATGAGGAATCAACGAGGTTGCATATCAACTGCCATGGAAGTATGTGTGTGGGGGGGAAAGGGGGAGAGAGAGAGGTGTCAGGTGTGATGCTCAGGTTTCAGGCCGTGTCTGTTGGATGGATCATGGACGATGCTTGCAAGTCACACACACAGAAAACACAGGAAGACCACAGGAGGATGAGGGGAAGTTATCAGGGATGTTTCTTACCTGATTTTTGCACATCTCACAATAAAAGAACCAGTACTGATTTAGCTGTTTCTAGGGAGGAAATTCCCCCAAATCAGAAGGCATTGAATCTAAATGTCCAAAATCAAAACGTAAAACAAACAAACCACTATACACAAAAATAAAAGCAACACAAACCTAAGTTTACTGACAAATTGTCTCCCTTTGTAATTTCGTGCTTTATTTGTTTCAGGGCTTTCATCAGCTCTTGGTTACTTTTTTCAGTTTTGTTTTTTAGACGTAGTATATTATCTTCGAACTCCAATATATGGTTTCTACAATTAATTAATTGATTATCTGCAAAAGAAAACATGTATGATGAAAACAAAATAATTTTTTATGTTAGATAGTCAAATATCAGAATATATAATGAAAACTATTAATATAGATACAAGAATATGGAAAAAACTGTATTTCAGTTTAGCAGGGAAAGAATAGAAATTGGCTAAGGGTTTGGGTGGAATAAAGCTTAGAAGATAATAAATTCCAGATGGGTGCTTTTAAAAATTAAGGTAAAATACAAAACTATAAAAGCACTGATGATATATTTGGGTTGAAACCCAATATTTCTTCCTTCATCTGCCTTGTTTGAAGAACAGTACACAAGTGGATAGCTGGAAGCAAAGATTGGATAATGCCTCTCCCTTACTCAAAAACCTCCAAAGATTTCTCATCACACTTAGAAAAATAACCAAGTCCTTACCATGGCCCACAAAGTCCTGCATGATCGGTCCCTGGGTTCCTCTCCAGCCTCATTTCCTACCTTCCTACTCACTCTGAGGGAGCCCAGCTCCAGCCACACTGGCCTCCCTGCTGTTCCTCATATGAAGAAACACTCTCCCACCTTAGGGCTTTGGCTTCTGGAGTGTTCTCAGCACCTAATGCTCATCCCCAGATCCTGCTGTGGTTAGCACCCATTAATTTCATTCCGTTTTCTGCTAAGATGATACTGCCTCAGAGAAGCCTACCCTGCCATCAAATGTAAAATAGCACACACCCTTTTTCTTCCCTTATCCTTTTTACAAAATCATTTTTCACCACTTGACTTTATATTATATATTTACTGTTTGTATGTCTCTCTTCAGAGCTCTCTAGAATGTAAGCTTGAGAGAAGCAAGAACTTTGGGGATTGTTTTGCTACTAAATTCCAAATGCCCGAAATAGTGACTCCTACCAAAATATATGCTGAAAGAATGAATAAACAAATTAATGAAATGAACGGACTTGTCATTATAAGAACTGATTTTAGTGATTCTTAAACTGAATCATGCTTTAATCAAAGGAACTGTAACTAACCAAATAAACCTTGAATATTCACGTAGTGGATAGTATTTGAGGATTCTTACAAACTTTAGAAGACGTTGTTTAACAAGCATACACCCGTGTTATTAGGGTTTCCCAGGTAATATATTCTTTGCAAAATGGATCGTGTGTTCCAAGTTGATATATCACGGGTGATGCAACAAATCTGGGTTTCCACATTGCAGGTCAATCCCTGAGGGATCAATTTGGTAAACATGAAAAGAGTTTTCTCTAGAGGGGGCAGTATTTACAGAAACAGCCACAAGGAAATGTTAAAGGACATAACCTCTAATCTTAGATCTGCTACTTGTACATTCCCCTTCTCTGGTAATTCACATATCAATATTCTATTTAAATATTTATATCACTTGCATACTCACTCAGGTATTTAGTGAGGGTGAAATGTTATAAAACTACTTTGTGAAGGTTTGAAATATATAATAATTAGATGTTTTGAGTCAATTGAGCATCTTTGTAGCAAAATTATAAAAACAAACATCAGTCCATGTGTGCAATGGGCCAATGTAACTTCTGCCCATAAGAAAAGGTTCCAACTGAGATCCTAAGTGCCATTGATGCTTGCTTCTCACAGAAGGAGTCCAAGGCACTATGCCCTAGTAGAAATAAAATGCAAGCCACATTTGTAATTTTAAATTTTCTAGTAACCACGTTTTAAGAAGTAAAAAGAAACCAGTGGAAGTCATTTAAAAATATTATTGAAATATTTAAATAAATATTTAATAGTATTTTATTTAATCTGATATATCCAAAATTTTATTTCAGCATAAAAATAATCAATGGGATATTTTACTCTTTTTTGTACTAAATATTATAAAGCATGCATTTATTTTACACTTATAGCACATCTCAATTCAGATGCTAAAATTTAATAACTATAGTGAAATATAGTCCTACCAAAATAGTAAAGTTTTGCTTAATGAAGAAATATTTTGCATCACTTCAGTTATTAAATGTATATTTAAGCTACTTAAAATAAAATGAAATTAAAACTCCAGTTCCTCAGTTGCACTAACTGCATGCATTTCAAGTGCTTGATAGCCTTCTAGCTGTGAGTTTGTTAGAAATGCAGTATCGAGGGGTGGGGAACCTGCACCTCAAGGTCACATGCCGCCCTCCAGATCCCCAAGTGGGCCACTCAACTGAATCCAGACTTCACAGAACATATCCCTCTATTAAAATAATTTGTTATGAAAAATTTGGATTCGGTCAAAAGGCTGCACTCAAGGATCTGGTAGGCCACATGTTGATTCCAAGTTGAACGGTATGCACATTAAAATTTGAGAAGCACTGTTACAAACTTCTTTAATTATTTCTATCTTTATCATCATTGATACTACCATAGTCCAGGCTTTTTTGCCTTTAGCTGTACTATTATAATTGCCTCTTAAGTGGTTTTTCACCTCCAATCCAAATTAGTCTTCTGGAAACACTGCTAAAAGACTATAAATGGTTTCCTGAATGCTAACCGAATAAGGTCCAAACTACTTGCCTTGGTCTACAAGGTCCTATACAACATGGCCATGAACATGTCTTGACCTGACTTATTTCATTCACTGATCACCTCCAGTAATAGGGGCATGCTGAGATGTTCATTCTTCCTTCCACTGAACACTTACCATGTGCTATGTGGTAGGTAAACAAACATGGATAAAATCAGGTTCCTGCTCTAAATTAACTGATAATTAGGCTACAAGAGATAGGGGAAAGGAGCATATATTTAAACAACTGATTATAGTATGGAATTATCTTCAAAGTGCAACAGCCAAAGGGTGGCAGGAATGATTAATTCTTAAGGACTGAGGAGTGGGAAGGAGGTGGGGAAGGTTTCAGAGAAGAGGGAAGATCTGAGAACTTAGAGAATGTATAGAATTTTGCCAAATAGCAAAAGGCAGGGAAGGGGATTCCAGACTAAGAAAACAACACCACAGATGCAGAGAGTATGAAATGGTATGGTGTATCTCAGGAAAAGTACGTGATTCACTTGGTGTAAAAAGAAGTGCAAAAGGCATGGTATAAGGCATTGGCAGGCTGCTTTGTGTTTATTACCCACTTACTTTGACCCAATGTGGTCCCAAAGAAAGAGTATCTGAGGTAGTTAGTAGGAGATAAACCTAAAAATGTAAAATACATTTTGGATTGCTCCCCTTTACATATGCTTTGCAAAATCAAACCACACTACGTATCAAGCCCTTTAAATTCCCTATGAGTGGGCCCTCTCTGTGTTAGGTTTTATTGTGCAATATATTAGACGTTACAAAAAGTATATAAAACAGTTTAAAGGATAACATCCATGACCTCACCTTAGCGTTGGATAGCCTATTTGTTTCCTTCCTAGATCAAATTTTCTTTCCTCCTCACCCCCAAATAATCAGAATCCTGAATTTTGTATTAACTACCCACTGCTTCCCTTTATAGTTTCACCACTTTTGCAAGCTGATGTACACTTTGTTTTAGACATTAATAAATAAATAAAGCATGTGCATTCTTCTGTACTTGCTTCTTTTGCTCAATTTATGCTTTTGAGATTCATCTATATTAATGAGTTGAGCTGTAGTTCATTCATTTTTACTGCTGTAAAATGTTCCTCTGTACTGAATATACCGCAACATATTTATCTCTTCTTTTGTTGGTGAACAATTGTAAGAAATGATACCAAGAATACTCTGGTACATGTCTCTTAGTAAACATGTTCAAGAGTTTCTCTAGGATATATCTGTTGGTAGGGATGTTATTTAAAATATTTAATGGCCGGGGTGCTGATCAATGAGAACAGAAGTTGGCCATAAACCACTGGTAAGGCTAAATGCCAATTTCAAGCCTGACTAGTAGAAGAATTGCAAAGACACAGGAGAAAGGCATGTTTCCTAACAGAAGAAAATGAAGGTAGTATACCCTTCAAGGGAAGTTTATGTGAATTCCCAAAGCTCCATATCCTCACCAAATGTTCCAAAATAAATAAAACATGGATAATGTTCTTTATAGAAAGTGAAGAAAAGGGAAAGGGCATAAAATGATTAAAGATTAGTAGAAATCCTATAAATCAGAAAAATTAATAAACATTCATAATCTTTGAAAGGAGTAGGATAGAATGGAGGTATATTGTGTACATGATGACAAAATTTGGTGTTACCTAGAGGACTAAAAGGTGAAGTCACTTTCAAAATTGGACTTTAACACCACTACCAAGATGACTTGTGTGCACCTAAGTCATTAATATGTTCAATAAGAAAAATAAAAATTTAACCTAAAATAAACTAAGGGCACTCTTGGAAGGCTGAATTCGTAATTTATAGGTGTTGTGTTTTACATTCAAACATTGAACTATAGGAACGCTAGAAAGTTACACTATGGACAGCTGGGCTTGAAAGATAAAATACAGGATACCGAGTTAGATGTGAATTTCAGATAAAACAAGACACACATTTTTAAAGTAATTACGTCCCGTGCAATTTTTTTATGCTAAAAAGTCGTTATCTGAAACTCAAATTATTTTGAATTTGAAGCGGGCAACCTTTATTTTTGTTCGCTAAATTGGCACTCCTATGGACCACGATGAATTAAAACCTTGGTGTGTTTCAACAGGGTCCATCTGAGGAAGTTCAGGCGCGCGACCAGCGCACTAAAAGGTCAGTTATGTCTCTCTCCATCATCCTACCCCTTTTGAGGGAAAGTAAAAAATACTTGAGGGAGCTTTGAAGTGTGGCCCCAAAATAAAACCTAGCCCACGACAGAAGGATGTTGGCTGGGTAGCAGTAGTTATTGAAGTCAGACATACACACGTTTCTGGGAAGAAGGAAGACCAGGGCGGGGATGAGGGGCACAGATGGGGCCCTTGAACCTTCTGGGGCAAAGGCGCCGCGGTGGCCGCGCGGGCCAGGCCGGTTGGCACGCGGCACGGCCGCCCCAGAGGAGCCCAGGGCGCCCGTTACAGGGTAACCGCCGGCGGGACTGGGCATTATCTATGCAGAGTCTACCCGCCATGGGTATCCTGATATGAGAGCAGGCGACCGCCAGGTGCCCACGTCGCCCCCCTACTCTACTCTCCCGCCCCGCCACTCCTGTATTCCTGGAGCCCGGAAGGCAGGAAAGGAGGCAGAAGTCACCCGCCGCTTACTGGCTTGCGTCAACCTGGAGATGCAGAAGCAGGAGAAGCTGAAGAGCACCGTGGCGACGAAGGCGATCAGCAAGTTCACATGCTTGGTCCTCATGGCGCTGGCCGGGCGGCGGGCAGGGGGCGGCGGCGGCGCCCGGGACGCAGAGGCCGAGCGCGCGGAGCCCGCGCCCCTGCACGCGCGCCCCTGCGCCCCGAGTCCACAGTGTCGCTTTTGTCCCAGCACACCTGCCGTGGGAGCTCCCTTCCCCCAGACCTTCTGCGCCCTTTACCTCCTGTCCTACAGTCCGATACATACGATGGGAACGCGCCCCCCTGCTTGGCACTTGGTGGGTGCTCAATAACTGTTGGTTTATTTTCCTGTAGCAGTTTGCTAATAATACTTTTGCCGCAGGCCAGGGAACACTAGGAGAAGAACATTAGTAGGATGAGACTGTGTTTGGGCTCCTTGATCCGTCATTTTCTATTTGGATTTTTCACTCTGATCTCTTATTTATAGGGACTCACTGGCAATGTCTGGTTATAAGCCTTCTACTTCAAACCAGCCCTGCACTGGCTACTTGGTACAACCCTACAGGCTGGGCTACTTTCTGGCCCCTTGAGAGGGGAGAAAGATTTGAACACATGCCAGCCTGAGGATGCCATTATAAGGCAGTATTTTCTCTTGGCTAATGGCCAGTTCCCAAAAGAGGGAGCCAGGAGAAATAAATACTTCACCTTTATTGTCCTTCATTCATTCCTTCCATCTGTTGTTGGTGCTTGCCATTGCTAAGCTCTCCTGGCAGCCAGAAGGCCAGGAAGTTCAGCTTGATGTACTAGATCATACAAACCTGCCTCCTTGTGTATGGAACAGGTTGGAGAAAGACTTAGAGTAGATAGAAGTGGGAGAAGGAAGCTTTCCAGCATAAAGAGTTATTTCTAAAATCAGTATTTCATTGTCCTCTTACTTGACGTCCAGGTCCAAATTTTCAGCTGTTTTCCCAGCCCTTCTGCTTGGATGTCCCACATCAGAGTCAAGATGTTTAAACTTCTCACTAAGCTAGCTGCTTTCCCAGCATCCCTTGATTTTATCAATGACAGCATAATTCTTCTTATGATCAGTTTGCCTCACTTTCATTACATCCCATCATTTATCAGATCTTTATAGTCCTTCTCCGAAGTGTCTCATGTTCAGACTTGCATTTCTGTTGCTATCTGTTACCCAGATTGTCACAATGATATTGAGACTCGTCTCGCTGTCTATAGGACCTACCCTCTGCAATACATACTTCGTTCCAAAACCAGATATTCTTCGTAGTTCACCCCCATCAGCTGTCACTCTTGTTTAAGCAGCTCCATTTCTCCCAAATGAGAAAGATCCAACTCAGACAGGCAGCTCACTGCTTTCTCATTATCTCCCAATGCTTCCTTACTTGCCTCTGGGGCCTGCCAGACTCTTTTATTTTTTATATTCTACTCCGAACACGTCATGTTCACTTTTCTCTTTCTGTGCCTTTTCTCTTGATGTCTACGCTTTGCTCACAATGTTCAGCATCCTCTCTGACCATTCAAATCTTTTCCACATCTCAAGGTCTCATGTTTTGTCTGTTTCATGAACCAAAACCTGACTACAGCAGACCACTCTGATTTTCTCTTCTCTGAAATCCTTTAGTATGTAGGATCCCTACCTTTCATTTTCATACATATCCCTATGCCCTTTGGAATAGGAGCCTCCAAAACGATGCTATATTACACTCATGGTTGAGGGAGAAAGATCTTCAAAGCAGATCGAATTATTGGTAGGGTAGTTGTCGTAAGAAATGTACTTACACACATTAGCCTCACTGGTTAAGGAGGTCTGGGGAAGGATGTTTGTGCGTGGATGGCTGGGGGTCCTTTGCAGTGTGCGACATACAAGCCCTGGCGGGAAAAGACCTGGCTGTGGGCAGAAGCTGGACAGCTCGTTTCTACAAGGGAGCACGGGAAACAGGGGAGGAAAAGCTGCTTAAGAACTAATCCTCCCAACAAATTTTCAATTAGGAGGAATAAGTTCTGGGAATCTCTTGCATAGTATGGTGACTATGGTTAATAATAATGTATTGTACATATCAAAATTGCTAAAAGAGTGGATTGTAAATGTTCTCACCACAAATGATAAGTTTATGAGATGATAGATATGCTAATTAACCTGATTTGATTATTCCACAATGTGTACATTATCGAAAATTCACATTATACTCCATACATGTATACAATTACTATTGTCAGTTTTAAAAAGAGAACTAATCTCCCTAAATAAACAAATTATTGAATCAAGCCTGCATACATAAACCTTGTGAGTAGGGTTCTATGCAAACAATGAGAACCAAACAAAATTTTGGTAGGTTTAACTATCTTGATGGTTTACAAGGCCACTACTGTATATGTAAAGAAAAACATCAGTGTAAATGGGTCTAACTGGACAAATACATGTGCCTGAAACAAATAAAATTCTGGGATTATTTCCACTGATAAAAAGTAATTTAATAACCAAGAAATTCTAGATATTAAATCTTTATAAATTGAGCTCTAATCATTTTTGGGTATCAATAGATTTTCATTGGTATCAGAGGGAGAAAACCAGGAGACTTAATGGAAGAACAGCTTGTGTTTTAATTTATCCACATAGTCCATCTGTCGGAAAACCCAAAGAGACCATGATTCTAAACACAGAATGATTAATTTACTCAAACCACTGAGACTTCATCTGACAAACTCCTTGAATGCTGAGACACTTCGTAACTGCATCAATACTTTTCGATCCAAAGGGGGAAAAGGCAAACTTACTGCTTTTTAAAAATTTCTGTACATTTTGGCATTTTAACATAAGATATATGTCATTATAAATATAATCTTTATAACTAATCCAAGTCACGAGTTCAAATCATGTTTTCCTCATATTCAATGTTTATTTGCTTCATAACTTTGATTTAAACATATTAGCAACTAATTAGTTAATACCAGCTCCAGGAACAAACTCCTAAATCTCCATGGCTTAATAGAATAGAGGTTTTTCCTCGTTCAAGTAATGTCTGATACCAGAGTTTCCAATTGATTGGCAGCTTTCCACATGATGAGTAGGAAGACCAGGTGCCTCAGTTATGTGGCTTCCCTCTCCTCTAGCAATTGGGAATTCTCTCCATTCCACTAGAGGATTGGGGAAAAGCACTCTACTGGTGAAAAATAAATGCGAAAGAACTAGGATGAGTAGTTCCTGGCTTGGCAGCTGCATCCCATTCCTGCCACGGAAGATCACCGACCTTCAGTGGCCAGCTATCCTTCTCTGCCAGGGCAATGGAACTGAAATCAAAGTCTCCATGGAGGCAGTGGCATTTCAGCTGAGTCCTGAATACCTTTAATAGGCAGGAATATGAGTGTGCGTGAGGTGCAGTCCATGTCTGAGCATAAAGAAGAAGCTGAAGCCAAGAGCCAGCAGGTGAATATCTGTATCCCCAGCACCTCATTCTGTGACTGGCGCAGAGTAGATGATCAATAAATATCATGTGTCCTGAATCGTAGACAAACCATTGACTGAGTAGTAGGGGTATTTTTTGGTTTTTTGGTTTCCTTTTTAAAAAAAAAAAAAAAAAAGAAGAAGAAGAGGAAGAAATACTATGTTAAATGTAAACATTAATCAGAAAACACATTCTGATTTCAGGTGGGGGAAACGAGTGGACTATGATCAATCCTAGTTTGGCCATTTGATATGAACTCACACACAGGGGTTTCTGGAAAACTATGCACATATATAATATGTTCAAAGGAACAGAAGGTGTGTCTTGGGCAGCAATTTTTCCTTCCACTAGATCACCCAAATGCAATATTGATTCCCTAAACAGGATCCAATAAAATAAAAGTTTCTACAGTGGGAAAGAGCAAGAGAAAGTTCTCTCAGAGCACCATCCTCTACCTCTTCATTCCCCACTCCAGCACCGAAGAACCTTTGAAACTATTTTCTCTTTACTACCCCTCATATTTGGACAAAGCACATACCACCTAATTGAACCAGCCAGTCCTTCATATCCTCGTACTGTATTTTCAGTGATAAATGTTTCAGTGACCTGTTCTAGTATCAGTCTGACGACCACTCCATAGAAATACGATCTGTTCCACATCGTGTTGGGATTCTCTTTGGTGAAGGGGCTGACTCCACACATTGGCCACATCGAATATATTCTATGGTCCAGTAAGATGTATGACAGGGAACCAAATTGTTACATAATTCATTGTTCCAAGACCTTGATAGTGTCTGTGGCTTTGGCTTTAGCCCAAGATGAAATAAACACTAAACTTACGTGGATACTCTGGGGGATATAGATATAAAAGTAATCCTATATAGTTCACTGGCCCATATACTCAGGAGATTTTTTTTCGAATGGCAACTTTTAATGGCTACTTTTTAGGTTAGCATTCATCTGTTGCTTACCGCATTAGTGGCTTAGATAAGGGACAAGTGGAATATATCATTATTCTACCCATGATTGCATGGCTTTCGCACCACTGTACCTACTTAAATTACCCAGATGGCAGGCAGGCAGGCCCTCAGCTTAGCATTTTATTCACCTTTCAAACCAACTTAATTCTAACTGTGGGCATCTATTTGACCTACTGTCATCCTCCCTTGGGAATTGCATAAGGCCTTCCACAATTGCATCTCTTGCACTGGGGTATCCTTAATGTTAACTGGTCAAGATTTTCAGATTCCTGACCACATAGCTAGATTGGTTACTGTCTGCGACTCCGTAAATATCCAAACATTGCCTGAAGTAAAGAACTAAGTTCTTCCTCCACTGGAAGAACTGAAAGCATGTACGCTGCTTTCAACTCAGCCCATCGCATGAACTTACCTTTGCATTATTTGACTGGGTTTTTCTGTTTGTAAGGCAAACAGTAACAGACTTTTATGTTGGCAATCTCACTATATAGGAACTCTCACGAATAAACCAAAAAAGTTTGTTCTATTTTAGTGGAAAGGGAGTCATGAGGTTTAGATCATTTAGCAACAGAAGGGGACTGCTGACTAGTTAGTCCTAAAGCAAAGATGCTATCTGCTCATGTGTGTGTTGTAACTTCCCCAGAGATATCTCCCATGACATGAATTCTTTTGAGGATTTTGTTGTGGAGCTTCCTCTTTATTACAACCTCTTTCTGATATCACCTGTGATATAATAGGTAGTTCAGATCTCAACATAATTTCATGCTCTTAAATTATGGGCACTGTTTTCACTAGAGCCCAGTAGTATGCTGGCAAACTGGCTCTCTAGCGCCATCATCAGGAACTTTTTGAGTCCAAAAATCTGAGTCATTACCACAAGGTGGCAGTATTACATTTAGGTCAAAGCCTCTAATTTGCATGCATTGTATTCTAGTATGAGAAATTTCTAAAATCATGTGTGAATGTGCTAGAATCCTATGGTCCCAGTAGCATACTTGGGCCTCTGCCAGTTATATATTTTTTACAGTTTATCAAATAGCCCCTCAAAGTGTGTCTCCTTTTTACTGGCCGGGTCCTGGAGGGAGAGTAATTTATTTACTGTTTGTATAATACATCCTCAAAGTTATTTTTAGAAATTTCACTGATTGGCCTAAGTTCTGAATCTCAGCCAGATTTTTTAACCATTCTGTTTGTCGTGTTTGCCACTACAGCTCTCAAATCTGAGTTTCTCCCTCCAAGGGGGAAATCATCACAGCAGCATCAATATAAAGGATTAACTTGATTTTGATGGTGATCATGTCTAAATATAATCTTACAAATTTGTGGCAATGAGTTGGAGCAGTTGCGATACCTTTGGAGAAGAGCCATAAAGATATATTACATTCCTTCTCATGTACAAGCAAACTGTGCTTGACTTCTCTCTGAGTGAGATCAAAAAGATTCTCTTAGCCTAATCTATCACAAGAAAACGGTCATATTTAGCTTGCTGGACATCTTGTACAGCTTATACAATGTGTGTTGCAACAGATACTTGTTTAAATCACAGAAACCACCTTGTTTAAATCATGATAGTTAAGTTACCACCAAAGCCTTCTCTTTTTCTCCTGGGCCACGTAGGATTAATAGAAAGCATTAATGGAGATTAGCACTTCTGCTTCCATTGTTTCTTTCTTTTTTTTTTTTTTTCTTTTTTTTTTCTTAAGGGGAGTTAATACAGTTGTATGCTTCCATTGTTTCTTAATGAAAGATGAGCTTTCCTGTGTCTTCCCAGAATCTGACATTGCCTGATATTTACTATCAAGAAGGCTTTTTGTAAGTCTCAGGGCTTCCATTTTGCATGTCTAATTAAAACTTAGTGAAAGGCAGACTTCTCTTTTAAAGACATTTTGGTTTTAAGTTTTGGTAATGACATTTTGGTAATGACAAGGGCCTTCATCACATCCATTCTAATTGTATTCCGGTAAAAGCCAAAACTGAATATTTTTTTTCTTTCTTATTTCTCCATCTGCAGCTTTATAGTGATGCTGGTGCTATCTACTGTAACATCTATATATGCTCTAAACTTCAATTTTCAATTTTCATATTATTGTCTTTTCGTTCCCCTGCTGATATTATGCTACATTTTACACCATCATTATGGTACATTCAATAATCCCCAAAAAGTTCTCCACTATTTTCTGCCACTCAATATGAACTATATTATACAACCTTGAACCACCCACCAGGGGTCAAATGAGGATTTCCTCTCCCTCAAGCTATTCATCCTATTTTCCTTACAACCTTAATAAATGAATTAAAATCACTACCCTGTGCTAAATGCACTTTATTTTCCTATTCTCTTTCAGCATTGTTGGATTTAAACTCATCCAGCCTAGGGTAACTGGAACAGATCTGATAGGGGAACTAAGGAGAGGTGGTTGCAGGAGCTAAAGTAAGCATCCCTGCTCTCAACTGTTCTTAATGGGCTGCTCAGTCCTTTGTACAGATCCCATCAATTTCCTTCTTCTCCATTCCCCCTCCACTGCCTTTTAAAAAACAATCATATAAATCATTACACCCAATTCAATGTTTACTTATTTGTTCTGGTTACTGTCTTCACCTCAACCCATTAGCTTTCTTCTGAATAGCCTTAACTTTCTTTTCATGGATAAAGCCCATTACTAGTAGTGGTGAGAACAAACTTGCCTTGGTGTTCTGTGTACTCCCTTGTTCTTTCATTAAAAGAATCATATGGGAAACTCATGCATGAGGGATTCCCCATAATCACAGAATCTATCATAGTTTGGGGCAGAGGCATGTGATTCATGGAAGCATACACTAGTCATCATAAAACCAATCAGGATTGCCACTGCCTTTACTATTTTTAATGTTTGCAGAGAGGTAACCCACTTCACTGTTAACAAAATAAGCATAAAGTTTTCCATCTTAGTATCAATTTGTTGCATTTCAGACTTCATACACTCCAAAGGTGCATCAATAGAATAATTTGGGTCCTCTGTGGATCAAATACTGGACACTGCAGCAAGCTGTTCATTAGTAGTTATATCAGACAACTCTTTCCATTAATCAGTTTCTAAAATCAAAAGTCCCATGGTTGTTTTGTCTGAGGATCCAAGAAAGCAGAGATTCCTGAGTACTACTCAAAAATACAGCCAAACTCCATTCCACTGTAGCCTTTGGTTTCCATGTAGGTGGATCTGATATGGCCAGGTAGAAGCACACTGGTTAGCTGAGAGACCTAGAGATCTAGGTCCCACCTTCTCCATGAAGCCAGAATCCTAATCTTAGGATGTAACCACCATTTAGCTAGCCATATGGGAGAAGAAATCAAAGAGAAGAAGACAGAAAGAGAGATGGCCAATCTTTCCTGAGGAACAGAATTCGTTTAATGCATCTACCAGTTATATGCAAATGAAATAAAGGCAATTGGTATGAATAGGCTATTTTAATGTGCAGTGACCCTGCTTCCAATAAATGCAGTCCAACCAATTTCTCAAGTTCTGACAAAACAGATTAGCCTTCTCTTCTCTTGAGGAAAAACATGGATAGAAGCAGGCCAACCGGCAGCATGGACACAAGGAGGAGAGTGTTCCTCTCTGCACTGCCTACAGTCAGTATAGAACTTTGACAAGGCAAAAAGATTACATACAGAATTATCTTACTTTCTATTATATAAAAGCCTTGTGTAATAATGCAGAGACTCCTGAAATGGAACTCAGTTTCCATGTCTTAATCTGCCAAATTGGCTGTGAACTTTGCCTTTCTGAATCTTTCATCTACAATTTAAAATTTTTTTAAATTGGATGATTTCTAAGTTCCCTTCAAGATTTAAGATTCTATGATTTTATTATTATAGCATATATCTGGACACTTCATTACCATGTTCATTGTCGGTGGCCCCTACTGGGGACTTGTGCGCCCTGCACACGGCTAGTATTGTACAATTAGTCCATTTAGAAAGTACTGGTTGAGATGTGGGAAAGTGTGTATTGCTTGCTTCAATTTGTGTTAACAAAGAGATAGCGGGAATATACATATATACAATTGCATAGAATATTTCTGAAAGTAGAAACAAGAAACTAACACTTGTTGCTTCTGAGCGATGGGACTGAGGGACCAGGAGTCTTTGGAGGGTGGGGGGAAGTAATTTGTAAATGTCAGTTGTCCTTTGTACTTCTATTCTCTGCCCTACTCTTTCTTCTCCAGCCACACTGGCTTTTTTGCTGTTCCTCCAACATTTCAAATATGCTCCCAATTCAAGGCCTTTGCACTTGCCATTGTGGCACCTGGAATACTTCTTTTCCAGATACTCTCATGCTATACTCTCTTCCTTCATTCAATAAGGCTCAAATGTCACCTTATTACTAAGGCTTCCTTAGCTACACGTTACCTAATGATTTCCCACACACACTCCCTAATACCCTTAATACTTAGCACCACCTGACATACTAAATATTTGCCTGTTCAGTGTATAACTCCTATTTTTGGAACGCTGCTTGGTGCATAACAGGCAATCAACAAATACTTGTTGAATTAATGAATGTACTGCTGTAGGTTTTTAAAAATTCATCTGCAAAAATTACCTTTCCAATAAAAACCAGTTAAAGAATCAATGTCGGCTGAACTAACTGTTAGAAGTTTATTAATAGGATAAAGTCCAAACTTCTTTTCTCAACATACAGTGCTCTCCTTATCTGCCACGTATTAGCCATGGGCAAGTCAGTCAACTTAAATTTCTTTTCCTCTTCCATAAAGCGGGGCTATAAATTAAGATTCAGTGTAGGAGACAGCGTTTTTGTAACCTTTGCGCAATAAACGTTACTAAAAGCATGCTTGTAGCCTAACAGTAGTAGTGAACAGTGCCAACTTGTGCAAACGACCTGAGATTTACAAAGACTCCCCAGAGCCGAGCTAGGAGACACCACGCTTGCGCTGGGCGTGCCTCCGCGCCGCCGTTGCCAGGGAAACCGCCCGGGCGTCCCTGGAATGGGAGCCCGCGCCGGGGCAGCGCAGCTGGACCTCCTTGCAGCGTTAGCAATAGGAGGAGCGCGGGCCAATCGGAAGAGGCGAGAGGGGCGGGGGCGGGGGCGGGGCGGGCAGTGTCCGGGGGAGGCGGTCCCGCGGCCTCGCTCCCTGACTTCCGGGTCGCGGTGCTTGCAGGGAGGGCTCCGCGAGTAGCGTCGTTTCCGTTGCCGGCTCTTTGCAGTTGGGGAAACCGAGGCAGCTCCTGCTTCCCCCTAGTTCTTCCGCTCCTGTGAGGTGGATGCCGTTTCTTTTTCCTCTTGCCCTGCGCTGCTTCGGTGCGGCTGCGCCGTGAGCGCTCGGGCTGCGCGAGCCCCGCGGCGCCCTGCGGGAGACCTGCGGGAGACCTGCGGGCGCCCCGGGCGGCCGGGCTTTGTGCAAGCCTTTCGCCACCCAGCCCGCGGGCAGCGCGAGGGGGCTCGGGGCAGCCACTCCCCAGGTCTGGGGTGCTCAGGCGCCGCGAGGCTTGCGTTCTCTCCGCTGGGGCAGTTCTCTTTCTTTTGTCCTGAGGAGCGCGGATTAGGCGGCTTCGTTTTAAAGATACAGATCAGCCCAGCTGTGTTGTAGGCACGGTTTCTGCACTGACCTGCGGGGATTTCGGGTTTGACAGCCCCTCGGGCCCCAGTCCAGAGATGACGTGTCTGTGGGGGTGTGTAAGGCAGGAAGGATGAGCGTTTTTGTTCAAGTGTCTTCCCCTCACTTGCATCTCCCCCTCCCCTTCATTAAGAAGCTGAAGATTTTTCTTATGACCTAAGGTCCAGTTTATGGAGTGTGTAGTGTTTTTTTTTTTTTTAAAGCTCCTATTGCATTTCTACCCTTCACCTATTGAATGGCAAATCAAGAGTTAGCTAGGGTGTGATATACTCCGTGTTAACTTGTATACTGCAATTTGTAAGCCATATGCAGTGTTTTTATTTGCTGGCATCACCTTACTGGAACAGCTGTAATGACTTATCTAGAAGGGTTAAGAAGAGCTTATTGCTAAAAAAACAAATCTGATGTTTGGTGTATTTTAATTGTTGCTCTGTCGGGGTCCTCTTGTTCTTGAACTGTAGAGCCCCAGTTTTCAAAGAATGAGAAATTAAAATAGGAAACCAAGATACGAAATACAACTATTTTAGCAAAAGAGTGCAGACTATTCTATCATTCTTTCAGGCATCAAATAGCTTGACTAAGTAAGTTATGATTTTACAGTTTTTAAAAAAGTGATAAATTTGACCATTTGGCCAGCCATCAGTTAATCTAAATGGTATACATTACACCTATTATTGTTTTTGTAGATGCGTAAACACTATCACAAAAGAGACAATGGAATAATAGATTTTAATATCATTTGAGATTTGATCAGATGGATAAACTGACATTTTTAAGTTTAAAATTCAATTTAAAGTCACTAAGCTTGTCTTGCATATTTCCTCTTCCAGGAAAAATGTTTATTTCTTTGTGGGAGTTCTTCTATGGGCACTTTTTCCGATTTTGGATGAAATGGCTCTTACGACAGATGACTGGAAAGTGTGAATTGCAGCGAATTTTTGATACCTATGTAGGTGCACAGAGGACACACAGGATAGGTAATGTAATTCAAAAAAGAAAAATTGGCAACTAATAAAAATTTAACTCTGAATATTTTTTCTCAATAGTCACAGTGACAGATGTACTCCTTTTGTATCCTGATTAAGTCATTTAAACTGAGTCTCACTTTGCATCCTTCCAACTCTAAAATTGTATGACTTTATAGAAAAAGAAAATGATTATTTGATTCTTTATGTGTGTGAAGGATTATCTCCTCTGGCTCCTTAAATTTATTGGTTATTCCTTGGAGTATACTTGGAATTTATTTTCTAGAGAAAAATTTCTATATTTATATAAATCTGTTGAAATTTTCACTCAAAGAGATGGGAAGAATAAGTGCCTTGATCTAGATCCATTTTTATACTTAGCATCCTTCATCAATCTTTTAATTTTTGTTTAACTTCTTTATGAAAGGACAGTAATTAGCCAGTGGTCCCTAGGAAAGATTATTAGACTCAGAATCCTCACTGCCTGATACTGTAGCTGGTAGCCACATATATTGAGCACTTGAAATGTTGCTAGTCTGAAATGAAATGTGCTATAAGTGTAAGTGTGATATACACTGGACTTGAAAGACTATAAGAAAAAAGAATGTAAAAATGTCTTGTTGTTTACATCCATTGTATGTTGAAATGATAATATTTTGGGTATGTTGGGTTTAAATATATGAAAATTAATTTTATCTATTTCCTTTTACTCTAATGTGGCTATAGACAATTTTAAAGTACACATGTGGCTCACATTTTGGCTTGTATTATATTTCTCTTGAAGAATGCTGCTCTATTACCCTCTAAAATACAACAGTTTTTCAATGCTTAATTGAAAATATTGCTCTAGATTAGAACACAGATGAATAAGAACTGTGGTGTGAAATCACAGACGGAAGGGAAGGCCAGGGAACTGCTGTAGCTCATGTTCACCGTGTTAAGTGGAAACTAGTGAATTACACCAGATCTCCTTTTGTGTTGATCAAGTGTGCTTCTATGAAGAAACCAGCCCCTGTAAGTTTGGGGGAGTGGGGTGTTGGCAATTGGAACAAGTATCCAAGACAACATTGGAAGAATGATAGACAGAAGCTGCCTCAGGGCAGCTGAATGATGAAGTTTAATTACTTTCCCAGTTTTCTTACAACTTCATAGCCAACTTAGATAATTGCCTGCCCTCTTAATTTGCCCCTTTGTACTCAGAACAAAGTACATCTTGATAGGAATCTCTGCAGGATGTATGAGTTGGTGTTTTATAGTGTAGGAGAAGAACGTATGTTAAGACTTTCCTTTGTGACAAAAGCATTTTTCTTGAATTTTTCAAATTGCTGAGAAAATGAAGACTATTAGTAAATGTGTCAGAAAAAATGTTAAACTAGACCAAGAAAAATGTTCTTTTGGTTCTTGAAACAAAAACCAAAAATGGAAAAGCTATCTTGCTATTTGTTTAAAGGATAGTTAGCCCGATAATGTAAAGTCTTTGCCCCTTTGATTTGTAATTCAGTTGCTATCAAGTCAAATCTAAACATTTACTCAGTAAGGCTAACAAATGAAGAAAATCTAGTAGAGAACACTCTCACGGTAGTCTTAAAATGAGTTTTGGGGGACCTGGGCTATTTTGAGGCAGGCACAGATGAATTTGAGGTGGTTGGTAGACACTTTTGGGGGTCTGCACAAAAACAGATGACCCCAGGTAATGAGGTTGGTGTCACCTCTTTGGCTTGATTTTTTTTTTTTGTTATTATTTCAGCGTATTACAGGTATACAAATGCTTTGGTTATATAAATTGCCTTTGCACCACTCAAGTCAGAGCTACAAGCATGCCTATCCCCCAGACACTGCACATGACACGCATTAGGTGTGAATTTACCCATCCCCTCCTCCCCCCTCCTACCTCCCACCACTCTGACACCTGATGAATGTTACTTCCCATAAGTGCACATTAGTGTTGATCAATTAATACAAATTTAATGGTGAGTACATGTGGTGTTTGTTTTTCCATTCTTGTGATACTTCACTTAGAAGAACGGGCTCCAGCTCCATCAAGGATAATACAATAGGTAGTTCACCATTTTTTTTATGACTGAGTAGTACTCCATGGTATACATATACCACATCTTATTAATCCACTCACGGATTGAAGGCATTTGGATTGTTTCCACATCTTTGCAATTGTGAATTGTGATGCTATAAACATTCAAGTGCAGATGTCTTTTTTATAGAATGTCTTTTTTTCCTTTGGGTAGATACTCAGTAGTGGGATTGCTGGATCAAATGGTAGTTCTACTTTTAGTTCTTTGAAGTATCTCTATACTACCTTCCATAAAGGTAGTACTAGTTTGCAGTCCCACCAGGAGTGTATGAGTATTCCTATCTCTCTGCATCCACTCCAACATTTGTTGTTTAGGGACTTTTTGATAAAAGCCATTCTCACTGGAGTTAAGTGATATCTCACTGTGGTTTTGATTTGCATTTTCCTGATGATGAGAGATGTTGAGCATTTTTGTATATTTGTTGACCATCTATCTTTTTTTGAAAAGTTTCTGTTCACGTCCTTTGCTGGCTTTTTAGTGCGATTGTTTGATTTTTTCTTGCTTATTTTCTTGAGTTCTATATAGATTCTAGTTATCTGCCCTTTATCGGATGTTTAGCATCCAAGTATTTTCCTGCATTCTGTAGGTTGTCTATTTGCTCTAATGATAGTTTCCTTGACTATGCAGAAGCTTTTTAATTTGATAAGGTACCATTTATTTATTTTTGTTGTTGCTGTGATTGCTTTCAGAGCCTTCATAAATTCTTTGCCTAGGCCAATGTCTGTAAGAGTTTTTCCAACATTTTTTTCTAGAATTCTTATGGTTTTATGCCTTAGGTTTAAGTCTGTTATCCATTGTGAATTGATTTTTATGAGAGGTGAGAGGTGCAGATCCTGTTTCATTCTTCTACATGTGGCTATTCAGTTTTCCCAGTACCATTTATTGAATAGGGATCCTTTTCCCCAGTGAATGTTTTGTCTGCTTTGTCAAGACATAATTTTTCACAGATCTAGAAAAAATAATTCTATGCTTCGTGTGGAACCAGAAAAGACCCTGTATAGCCAAAGCAATATTAAACAAAAAGAACAAATTGAGAGGCATTAATTTATCAGACTTCAAGCTATACTGCAAGGCTATAGTAATCAAAACAGCATGGTATTGGCACAAGAAAAGAAACATAAACCAATGTAACAGGACTGAGAAGGCAGATATAAAACCATCCTCATATAGCCATGTGATCTTTGACTTATTGGGCTTGCTATGTTGTATTTGGTTGAGGTCTTTGGAATCATATCTACCCCATACTGTAAGATTAAACTTTGAAATGTTTGCTATGTTATTCATGTAGAAATTATATCTTCTGTTAATGTTAAACTAATTTACTACTGGCTTGATATTTTTGCTATTTATTTATGAAGTAATTCACAAACAGCATGTAAGTGATAATATTTTTTTTATTCCAGAAAATTCCTTGAGATACTCCAAGAATAAGGTAGGATCATATCAATGTGATAATTCTAGAAAATCTAACTTGGACATACTTTTCCTTTAAAGGAATGTTTCAATTTTAGAATTATTTTTAGTGTCCTACTAGAAGAATTTTGGCTATAAAGAGCATTGAGTGAAATTTCCCCCCAGTAGAAGTACTATTCTTTTTTTAAAAACATTTTCTCTGTGGATGATTTTTATGCACAAAAATGGTATTTGAATCATTAGTCCTGGGTGTTTCGAAGTTTTACTTATTTATTTTGTCTTAGGAGTTGATTGCTCTGGGGAAAGCCAGGTCTTAGGGTGAAAGCCTTCTCTTAGACTGTGTCTTCAGGATAGATTCTGTGAGAGAAAAACAAGTAACTTTGCATAGAGAAAACCCTGGGTCACATTCCTTTTGAACCAAAATGAGTGGTAACTCATGCTATATACTAGTGAGCTTTTGCTGCATAACACACTATTATAAAATCTCAGGGGCATAAAACAATATGTTATTTCTTGCTCATGTGTCTGTGGGTCAGCTGGAAATACTCTTCTTCAAGCTGATGCCAAGTTCAGATCTATTCCATTTGTCTCGTCGGGGATCCAGGTTTGTGGGGGTCAGGGGATAAGGGGGTAGCTGCTGAATGTCCTCACAGTGAATATTTGAAGGCCCAACCACACAGACATATTTTAAACACAATATGTATTTGTCCTACCTATCAGCATCCCATTGATTAAAATAAGTTAAGTGGGCCAGCCTAAGTCAAGGGGTGGAGAAACTTGTTATACCCACCATAAGGCCATGGTAGGTAGGTGGGTATACAATTCAATTATAGGGCAGTGAAAAAATTGGGACCAAAAATTCAGTCCACCACATACTGTTACTTCCCTCTAGTGTTTCACAGTTTGTTCTATATATGTAGATTATATGGTATGGCAAAGATAGAATATGGGTCATCTAATCTAGACAGTTGTTTGAAATAGATCACAACCAACATAAACAATAAAACATAAACAATAAAACATAAACAATAAAAAAGGAATAGAATAGAAAATATTTATAAATCATTAGTAATAATAAGGTTAAATATTGTTTTAGAAAATTTTTATTTGGGTTATGTATGTGTGTGTGCATCTCTGTGTATTTTAGATATCCATATGAATGTACTTGGTCATGATATAAAATTTGGATCAAGATAAAAAAATGTTGACTTGTTACTGTCTAGTGATACTGAAATGTTACTGATTAATGCCAGAAACAAAACGGACCTAATTGAGCATTGCAAGCATATCTGTTATGTCCTAGAGCAATGGTACCCAGCATTTTTTGCACTAGGGACAGTTTCATGGAATACAGTTTTTCCACAGATGGGGGTGGAGGGTTGGGAGAGTAGATGTGTTTCGAGATGGATCAAGCGCATTACATTTATTGTGCAGTCAAATCTCTCTGCTAATGATAATCTGTATTTGCAGCTGCTCCCTAGTGCTGGCATCATCTCCTCAGCTCCACCTCGGATGATTAGGCATTAATTAGATTCTCATAAGGAGCCCACAACCTAGACCCTTCAAATACACAATTTATAGTAGAGTAGTAGAGTTCATGCTCCTATGAGAATTTAATGCTGAGAATCTAATGCTGCTGCTGATCTGACAGGAGGCGGAGCTTATGCGGTGATGCAAGCCTTGGAGAGTGGCAGTAAATACAGATAAATACAGACACAGCTTCGCTGGCTTGCTCACCTCCTGCTGTGTGGCCTGGTTCCTAACAGGCCACAGAGCCACAGACCATACCAGTTCTGGCCAGGGGGTTGGGGACCACAGTCCTAGAGTGACCCATAAAATAGGGTCTTAACTGACTTAATTACACTCTTATCTTATGAATAGTCTATGCAAGAATAGCTCATCCATAATGAATATTGGGAGGAGGAGTCCAGAGTACTCTTTTGTTCAGAAGTATTAGAGAGTGATTAATACATTGTTTTTAAAATGAGAATGCCAGGGTCCAGAAAGGTGACAAATTCCTGGTTCTAAAAACTCATTTGTATCTTATCCACCCATATAGTTCTTTTAATTGAAACTTAGGATACAATTTCTCAAAGTAACAATATCATAAATTGTAGCAGATATAGTTGGAGAAGTATATTTCAAATATATTACAAGAGTAGTTCTTAAACTTAAGGATGCATCCAAATCTCTAGGAGGCTTGTTAAAACATAGATAACTGGGCCACACCTCCAGAATTTCTGATTTGGTTCTGATTGCATTTCTGACATTTTCCCAGCTGCTGCTGCTGTTCCTTCTGGTTAGGGCCAGCACTTTGAAGACCATTGTATTAGTATGATTTGGGGGGACTATTAATCATAACTACCTTTGTTTCTGTAGGAAAGAGCATGTACATTTTCCAAACTGACCTTAAACAAATTGTGCTTTGAGATGTCATAAGGTTGGAACTATTTGGGTGCTGAACCCTCTAGAATGAATTCGTCTCATCCAACGTGTTTTTTCTTTTGGCCTTGAAATTGTAAAGGGAGTAAAACCGAAACTAAGTTCTTTATACAACACCCTCAGTCCCAAACTCCATCCCTGGTTCTTCAGGAGTATGTCCCTTCAAATGCCTTGACATTTCTCTTCTTATAAATTTACCAACATTATCACTGTTGTTCACTAAAACTCCATGTGGCCCTTTTCATTACTCTCTGATTTCACCTACTACTATTCTTATCTTGCTCACTGTCATCAGCACTGTTCTACATGTTATTTTCCAACACATCAGCATGCTCTTGCCTTAGGGCCTTTGTGCTGTTTCTTCTTTTGAAGAGGAATATGATTCCTCCAGTTGAAAGCTTAGCTTACTTCCTCATTTTCAGTTTTTTGCTCAGTTATGACATTCTCTAGGAGACTTTCCCTAAGCATCCTCTACTTAAAATTGCACTCCTCTCCTGTCCCTATCGTTTGCCCTTAGTTGTTTCACCATAGCGTGTACCACCATCTAACATACTATATATTTTATTTATTTATTTTTCCATTCCCTCCTGCCAAATAGAAAAAAAACAGGGGCAGTATTTCTTTTGTTCACTGAAGCTTCTCTAGTTATTTCAAAAAATGCCTGGAATGTGATAAGGACTCTGAATATTTATTGAATGAATGAATAAATAAATGAGAAATATGAAAGAATAAAGAGTAGTAAGTGAAAATTTCTTTTTCTCAAAATAGTCTGTGGCATTTCTTTCATTTACTATTTCACTGAAGAGGTTCTGGAACTGGAAACTCAGTATCATTTATATCAATGTAACTATTATTATTACAATTGATTATAGCAGTTTTGGTCACAGAATTTATTAATGGAATTTTATGTGTGCTAATATTTTGCCAAGCTCAAGTGGAACAGTAGATAAGATGTTACTTTTAAGAACTCTAGTGCCTCTCTCAGATCATTCAAGGACTTGAATGATTACCATATGTTCAGCATTCCACCAGATTCTATGGGATATATGAAAAAAGTAAAGGCTGGTATTGAATGCAACTATATATAGGAGTTTAGAGAAGGAAGAGGTACATATTGACTAGAGTATTTGGGGACTTTTGGGTTTATTTTGCAGTTTAATATCTACTTCATAAAGTTGATTAAATGCCTCAAAACTTTTTCACCTCTAATGGATTTTTCTCATTCACCTTTTTTTCATTTAAATAGGTTTTACAGAATGCAACACGTGTTGTTGAGAGTGAAGTGGACAAGTGTGTAGAAGATATAATGAAGGAAAAGAATATTAACCCTGCGAAGGATTCCAGGTGTGCTGTTTTTACATTATTCTCTTTTTTATCATGCATTTATAGCCTGTAAAATGTGGGGGTCACACACAGTTGTAACACAACCAGAGCTGAGTAGTTTGTGGAGATCACCTGATTCAACCCTCTTACTTCACTGGATGAGCAATCAGGGTCCAGAAAGGTGAGTGACAGAAGCAGGACTAGAACTTGTATCTCTGGGTTTCCCAGTACTGTAGTAAGGCCTGTGTACCATCTGCCTTCTTCATTACTTTCCCAAGGTTCAATAACTTTGGCTACTCTGTCTTTTTTGTCCTTCAAAATCGGGTTCCTATATCTTCCTCCTGGAAGGTGCTCTTTGGCTCTTCCGTCTGAGTTAGGTGCCTTGCTTTGGCCTCTCACAGAGCTGTCACCATTTAACCTGTTGTACTATAGTCAGTGATTAACTCTTGTCCTTTCCCCCATAAATTCTAAGTTCCATAAGAAGAGAAACTTACTCCATTTTTGTGTTCCTGGCACTAGCATATTGGCATAGTATTGAGCCTTTTCCCCTTCATTCAGCATTTCCTATGCAAATATAGAAGAGCTAACAATTTATTTCAGCTGAGACAGGGAAGAGTCTAAGAGGGAACTATGAGGATAGTTTCAGAAAAGAGGTGACATTTGAGCTAGACCTTGATGAATGGGTAAGGGAATGGTTCCAACAAGGTACAGTGACAGAAGTATTTGTGTTTCTGGGAATGATAAGGAGCCCTTTGTGGCTGGAGCCTTGAATACAAGCAGAACAGTGGTTGGAGAAGTGAATGGAGTGCTAGAGCGATGTATTGCAGTCTTGCATACCATACTGAGGGATTTAGGTGTTGTCCTTTGATGTTTAAGCAAACAAGCTACGTCATCAGGTATGTATTTTAGGAAGATGGAGGGTACATTTGGGGATGTGGGAGGCTGGTAGAGGGAATAAAGAACAGTTAGGAAACTCTTGAGTCATTGTGGCAAGAAATGACAGAGCTGTAAATACAGCAGGGGAAATAGTGATATGAGAAAATCTTTGAGAGACATTTCAGTACCCCTATAATATTCTGAAATAAAAAAACAGGATCAAGCAATATAAGTAGATCTACCATTTGATCCAGCAATTCCACTACTGGGCGTCTACCCAAAAGATCAAAAGTCACTTTATGAAAAAGACACCTGCACTGGAATGTTTATAGCAGGACAATTCACAATTGCAAAGTTGTGGAAACAACCCAAGTGCCCATCAATTCATGAGTGGATTAATAAAATGTGGTATATGTATACCATGGAGTACTATTCAGCTTTAAGAAACAATGGTGATCTAGCACCTCTTGTATTTTTCTGGATAGAGCTGGAACCCATTCTACTAAGTGAAGTATTTCAAGAATGGAAAAACAAGTACAACATATACTCACCAGCAAATTGGTATTAACGGATCAACACCTAAGGTGGGAGGGAGGTGGAAGGAAGGGGTATATACAAACACAACGAGTAAGATGTGGAATGTTTGGGGGATGGTCATGCTTGGAGCTCTGACTCGAGAGGGGAGGGGGGCATGGGCAATATATGTAACCTTAACACTTGTACCCCCATACTACACTCAAATTAAAAAAAAAAGGCTTGGCAACTGTTTTTGGCTTCTTTTGACTATTGTTGATGGAGAGAGGTGAGTCCAAATTCAGAGTCATTTAGCTTGGGGATGTCATACATATATTTTAGCTTTAGTGATGTCATACATATATTTAGAGACTTGCTTAAGAAAGAGCATGTTTCTTCAGGGAAGTTAAACTGTTGTATTTAGAACTGAGATAACCTGTTATGAAACTATTTGTTTTATATATACTTGGAAAATTAGGTCTATTGGTGATATTTGGCAATAAAGATTTGAGAATATATGGGATTGCCCAGAGAAAATGTGAAAAAAGAGGACAAATCCTTAGAATTGCAAAGTTTGCCATTCCTGCTATGTCATGCCCTCTTTCTAGGCTCTATATCCTATGTAAAGTTTAGTGTTTAAAGAGACTCTTGATATGTCTTGTATTGAACTGAAATCCAAGAAGTGCTTTCTAAATAGACACATGAACCATAAGCTATGGAAAGCATTACTTTATTGCAATAAAAAGATATGATTTTAAAAAATAATTTTATTTTCAGTTTTAAAATCTGCATGACAACATGCTTACTGCAGATAACTGGTTATAAACAGCTCTATTTGGATGTAGAAAGTGTGAGGAAAAAGCCATATGATTCTGATAACCTGCAACATGAAGAGCTTCTCCTGAAGGTAAATTTTTGTTTTCTTTATTTGGAGTTGTTTAATTCTAGAAAAATAAATCAGGCTTAAGCTGAGAAAGGTCTGTGTGCAAATTCTAGAGGCTTATATAGCCATCCAGTTTCTTTGTCCATTAGAGAAATTGATTATATTGAATTTCATTGATTTGGAAATATTTTTAGTTAATGATATTTATATATTTTCTGATAAGCATTACTAAAATATATTTGAATAAATTTTAATGCTATTAATTCTAAAATAAATTATAAATTTATAAAGGGAGATGTTTTTAATCAAAAAATATATGTCTACAAGTTTTGGATTTTCCTGCTACTTTAGACATTTTTTTTTAGCTGCTCTCAAATTATGAACCTGGATGTCCCTCTTCAGGTTATTATGTCACATCTTTTGAGATTTATGTAATGTTAATGCCAAATAATGTCATAATAGATTTAAACATTAAGAAAGTAAAAATTTAGAATTATAACTTTCCTGTTTCTTATTTCTGAAGCATAAATGCATAAGACCAATGAGGTGCCAGAATTAAAGAATATTAGACCTAGGGTAAACTTCATAGATCATCTAGTCTAGTCCCTTTGTTTTTATGTTGAGGATTTCAAGGCCCGGAGGAAATGAAGTGATTTGCTTTAAATATTAGAATGGTAGGGGCCAGGTGCAGTAGCTCATACCTATAATCCTAGCACTCTGGGAGGCCGAGGTGGGCGGATTGCTTGAGGTCAGGAGTTCGAAACCAGCCTGAGCAAGAGGGAGACTCCCTTTTCTACTACAAATAGAAATAAATTAATTGGCCAACTAATATATATAGAAAAAATAAGCCAGGCATGGTGGCGCATGCCTGTAGTCTCAGCTACTCAGGAGGCTGAGACAGAAGGATCCCTTGAGCCCAGGCGTTTGAGGTTGCCGTGAGCTAGACTGACACCACAGCACTCACTCTAAGCCTGGGCAACAAAGTGAGACTCTGTCTCAAAGAAAAAGAATGGTAGGGCCTGGGATAGAGCTGAGTCTCCTGCCCATCCTCTACATCTAGTCCAATTTTATTTAAAATGGTTAAAGTTAGAGAAAATAGCACACTGTGTTTGGCATTATGAATTTATTATAACTGAAAGTACTGTAGAAAGAACATTGATGACATCTAGTAACAGTAAGAGATGCAAGTTTTAAAACAATAAAACTTACTTTTAGGAAAAGTATAAAATACACACTTAACCTAATTGTAAAATTAAAATAAAACGGTATAGTTAAATGAGGGTAATAAAAATACGTATCTCAAAGGGCTGTTGTGTGGATTGAATTTTTACTTAAAATGTTTAAAATAGTGCCTGGCACTCACTGAGGATTAACTGATGTTTCAATCCTCCTCCTCCTCATTTTTCTCTGAATTTCAGATCCTTGCTACACAATACCTTCCCTTTTTGGAGGGATAAGATACAAGTCTTAGCATTCTAGTTGAGGGAATTTTTACCATGGTGATCCACTGTGAAATTCAGTTCTAGAGGTGGAGAGCCAGTTTCTGGCAGTGACTAACCCAGCCACCACCAAAGAGCTATATAATCTGTGTCGCTTTAAGTATAGTCTGAAGATCACCTTCACTAGAGTTAACTAGTGTTATATATGTATTATAGATTCCAAAGCTCCACCTTACTCTTATGAAATTAGAATCTCCAGGGGTAGAACCCAGAAATTTGGTGTTATGCGTATTAAAGTTTGAGTTATTAGTAGTTTTACACTGTGGCTCTCACCACATCGCCGAGGGCTTATTGTTGACATACTCAGACTCCTTGCTGAATTCATGGGGAGATGCTACTGTGAGCAAATCACATGTGTTGGTAATAAAAGTAGGAACCAGATGAAACCTAATCTAATGATTGGATTTGCTTCAGAGCCAGAGTTGACCCTGTAAAGCAAGGTCACAGGTCTTCACATTTTATTTTAGGTAACAGGATACTCCTTTCGTTATGAGTTCTTTACTCAACAATGCCTGAAATGGTAGTGAAATGGGAAAAAATGCAAGTATTTCTGTTTTGCAAATTTTCGCAATCTTTTTTGAATCAACTTCTGTAAGTCTTTTTTATTTGATGACTTGTGGTGTTCAATTTAGAAAATGACTAAATTTTCTTAACTTTTTTTGTATTGATTAGTTTGTTAGGATCTGATATTTGATAGCTGTTCTTAAATCCTGATTCTTAAAGATCTTTATTTAAAACCAGTCATACTATTTTTTTCTTTTAAAACTGAAAATTTGTAAAATAATGATCATACATGTTACAAGACAATTTTTATCATTTCTGTACAATCCTCTCCCTCAGGCCTGTTTTCATTTTTCTGATTAGGGACTAATCCCTACCCTAATAATAGAACCTATTTAAGTATACAGTGTTTGAAGCAAGGGTCAAGTGCCTGAAATACTATGTTCTTCTCAAGCAAGCAGTTTACCACTTCTGGTATATGTGTTTATTAAATAAAAACATCCCATTATTTTAGATTTCTGTGTATTATCTATTACCTTTTCCAAATCTATTCTTTATACCAATCTCACTCTTGCTCAGGCTGGTTTCAAACTCCTGGCTTCAAGCAGTCCTCCTGCCTCAGCTTTCCAAAGTGCTAGGATTAGAGGTGTGAGCCCACCTAGCTCAGCCTACACCAGTCTTTTTAATTGGAATAAATATGCTGCATTTGGGGGAAAATTGAAAGGTTTTCTAAAATATTTTTAAAAATTAGCATTTGTTGAACCTGTGTTTTGTCTATAAAAGTTGTTTCATTGAAAGCATTCTGTATATATACAAGCTGTGAAAAGGAAAATGTCTTGGTAAATTAAGAACATCACTATTATTTGTAATATGGAAGCTTGTTTGTACAGCTTTGGAATCTTCTAATGCCAACGAAAAAGTTGAAGGCTAGAATCTCCAAGCAGTGGGCTGACATTGGTTTCCAGGGAGATGATCCCAAAACAGACTTCAGAGGCATGGGCATACTAGGATTAATCAATCTTGTGTAAGTGCAAATAAACTTTCTTTTCTTCTCTAAAGAAAATTACGTGGAATCTCCAATCTAGTTAGATTCTAATAAGAATTGATCTAGCTGTTTCATACTACTGAATGTTAATAGCTTCAGTGTACAAGTATTTGCGTATGTGCAGGCAACCATATTAAGACATTGGAAATACACCTGTGTATGTGATGTCTTGCCTTGCCAATGCTTTCCTCCTTTTTTTTTTTTTTTTTTTTGTCTTTCTGACCTCCATTCTGACACCTCTTAAAGAATTATGTGCACTCTTTCTTACTGTTTTTATCCTCTCGCTTCTCTCTGGGCTCTCTGATTCCATTTTGGGAAATCCAACCAGGTAAGATGAGAAAGTCTCTTCACATGTATTTTTCACCACCTGTAACAACTAATCTAAATCCTTGACCTTTCATATAGGCTACTGTGTGGACTCTCTCTCCATTCTCTTCTTTAATACTTATGAGTAGGTACATGTATGAAATCCCAAAATATGTAACTCAAATAATAATTGATAGCCTGGAAGATTAATTTCGTCCTATAAGGATATGCAGATATACAGACTGTCGTCTATGAACTGTGATTTACAGACTATAACATGTCTGAAATGGGAAGCCTAACCATTAAAGTTTAGGTAATTCTTACTGTGAAAAAACCAATCCTGAAATTAAGCTTAATTAGGTTAATGTTGAGAAAAAGCAGGTCAATATGGATAAGGCTATTTTGGGGAAAATAGAAGACATTATGGTAGGGTTTCAATAGCTACAATTTTTTCTAGTTATAAAAGTATTTAATTTTCTGTAATACCTAAATGTATAAGCATTAAACGTTCTTATAATAATTCTACTTCCCAGAGATAAACAACACTATAATCTTAAAAAATATTAATTACAAAAAATAATTTCTCAGCACTGACCAGAAGAGAATTTAATTTAGCTTAAAGTTTAAATATTTAATAGGATTTGATTCTATACTGTGGTTAGAAATTCTGATAGACCTTTATATGACTTACAGATAATTTCACTCTATTTAGAGCTAGTATCAACTGATTTGAAAAACGACCAGGATTCACATATATTAGTAACTATTTGATGGCTGTAAATGATATTTATTGTTTTGTGTAGAGAGCTATGACTCTTCAGGACCAAATATATAGTCAAGGAATAGCCAAGCTGTTAAAATACCCCTATGTAATTTATTTTTTAAAATTCTTGGCCTTTGTCATGTTTCTCTTGAGATATTTTCTTGCTTTGAAGTATAGCTGGTAGTTTGATAAGTAACAAGACTGGATAAATGAACGCTGAGGAGGGTATAGAAGAAGAAAGAATGTTTTACAGGGAATGAATTCAAGAGAGACTTAAGAAATCTGAATAGATGAAGAAATAGAAACAGCAAAGGAGAAGAATGTGCAAGTTAAGGTAAAAAATGTATGTAAGAAGGAAGGAAGGAGAAGGAAAAAAGGAAGGAAGGAACTCAGTGTAGATTATTGTAAAGAATAGTTTTACTTATTACACAGTTTTTTTTTTTTTACCATTAGATACTGTTAAGATAGGGGTTAACTAAGTAAATTCAGCAAGGAAATTAAAAGTTGCTCTGTATTACCGAGTGAATATTTTAAGAATACTTTGACTATTAAAATGTAATACTGAATTATTACATTTATACATACAAGTACTATTTACAAAAATCAAATATAAATATAGTCTGTTAAGTACATTTTAGAATCAATCAGAGATAGAGTAGAAAAATTTGAGTGCTTAGGAAAGCATTTCACTAAGCAGGACATTTTTTTTTTACTATTTTGAGGATGCTCTTTGAGGATCTGATGAGGGCTTTGTATATTCTCTCCCCAGAAAATGTATACACAGAAAAATTTGCACATAATTTAAGGTGGTTCATGGATCCCCTTTCATTCATAAATGATCCTTCATTCATGGATTTTAAAGTTAATAGCCCGTGATGTGATGGATTGAAAATTAGAGCCAAGGAAGAAAAAAATGAAAGTGTATAGTATTCCTATATAGAGGAAAAAATAGAAGGGGAAGAATTAGCTTTATGAAAATTTCAGTGATTGTGCCCTCTAAATAAACCATAGAAATTTGCTTTTTAATTTTACTTATCCTTACTTCAACATCCAGCCAGTCATTGTGTGTGTGTGTGTGTGTGTGTGAGTGTGTGTGAGAGAGAGAGAGAGAACATATATATATATAGAGAGAGAGAGAGAGAACATACCAGTGCATTCAGAGGTGATCCAATGGTCGAACAGATATGGTGGTCCCTTAACGACTCAAGGAGTTTGTGTTAGTATAGGCCAAAAGGATGTATGTGCCTACAGATAGACAGCCTTACGTACATTTCTCCTGTACCTGCTAATACTTCTGCTTTATGGCCATTATTTTAGTTATACCACTGATCAAGCAGGGTTTTTTGGTGCGAAAGAAAAATATTGGCTTTAATTGCACCAAAAATAGCATTAAACAATACAGACATAAGTTGTAGTAGAAGAAATAAGCCTAGGTGAAAGGAAGAGTGTCCTAACAGGCACAATTTGACTGTTTGACTATTCTATTTTATAAAAATAAAACAAGTAAGTAAAAAGAACTCTATATAGAGGTTTTTTTAAATTAATAATTAGGTAGACAATCTCTTTTTAGATGATCTATTTGTTAAAATAGTGTACAGTTTTGCCAGGGCCCCATGTTGTGTACTAGATAGGCCTGATAGGTTGGGATTGAATTTTGATTCAAAAGCATTTGTGAATCACTGAAGTGATTTGAGATCAAAATGGAAGATGATTGTGGCAGTCCCAGGACTATTATTTTGAAAGTGGCCTTTGAATTGGTTCTGGATATCTTAAATTTAAGTAATGTATATTCATTTCACTATTTTTCTTAAACTTTTTTAGGTATTTCAGTGAAAATTACACCCGTGAAGCTCATCAGATTCTTTCCCGTTCAAATCATCCAAAACTAGGGTATGCTGGATATATTGAATAAACTGTAATCTCTTGAATTTAAGGTGATTAGATAAATTTGAAGGTAATTCTTAAAACGAGATTATTTAATTAATAAGGACTTTATAAAGGATATTATATTACATGATATGTTATTTTAAAGGAAAAATGTTATCATAAACCAGTTTTGTATGTATTTCAATATGTTAATCACAAGATGCAGTTTATAAAATGGAGGTAAGGGCATTTATAAAATATTTTTGAGAAATAGATCTGAAAATAGGAATAGGAAATAGCTTTGAAATAGGAATCAGAAAATGGGAAGTTTTGAAAATTGTAAAGTGAAATGCAAATTCAGGTCATATTATTAGGTTTAACATTATTTTAATATTCTTATGATATCTAATCTTTGAAAAAACATAGTAACAATGTTAGATCATAAAAGTAAATACCCTGATAATAGAGAAGAAAATAACAGATTATCCAGTGGTATTTTAGAAATCAATGAAATTTGGTGTATGTAGTTCTCCCCTCCTTTATTTTTTTAAGAATTCTAGTTTTAGATATCATATGAACAGAGCTTTATTTTTATTTCTTAGATTATATCTGGAAAATCAATGGCCTGTAAAAAAGAACTTCTGGATCCATTCTGTTTTATTTTTCTTACTATGTAGAGATTTTTATAAAATTAATACTATGTTAGAAATAAAACAAAGTCACTTTTTACTAATTCCTTACATAATTTTAAATTTATTTTATGAGCAATTTGGCTAGCTGATATAACTGGTAATGTTTCTGACATAGGTATTCTTATGCAATAGTTGGAATCAATCTTACAGAGATGGCTTATAGCTTACTGAAGAGTGAAGCTTTGAAGTTTCATCTCTACAACTTTGTTCCTGGTATACCAACAATGGAACACTTTCATCAGTTTTATTGTGAGTATTAAAGTGAGTTAAAACTAAATCTAAGAGAACTCTTAGATTAGGAAGGTATAATATGTATTTTAATCTAGTAATAATGCCTCTATGAAGTATTTAATTTATGTTTATCATTTTATTATTTAAGATCTTTGAAAAACAGGAAAATAGTGAGAGATGAGTTCCCAAGAGTATTTTGTACTTCAGTTTTTATATTTGCTGATACATTTAATGACACAGTTTTTCACATGCAGACAAATTTAAGATTTAGTTTTTCTTTGGGCATTCATTTCCCAGTACACTACAAAATGAATATTCCCTGGTTAATGACTGCTGTTGAGTCAAGCAATTTACTGTATTTCAATAAATACAGGAGGGTGGTAGGTAGGAAAGCAATACAAAATGACCTCTGTCCTGTATTTTTCCCCCTAAAACTGTTAACTTGAGGATTTGGGGGTATTATGCCCATCCTGTAGGATTGAGGGAAAGCTTGCCCTTTTCCTGGAAAGCTCACTGAAAGATCAACTCACAATTGAGGCAGAAAAGGTTTGTTTACCTATACCATGCACATGGGGAGAATCACATAGTGTTTACCCATATCCTATTCAGATATTTTTATACAATTCTGTTTAGGGGTGACAAATGGTGCTAGGGAGGACAAATGGATGGAGGAGACAGATTGACTTGTAAATGATTCTCTTTGTAAACTAACCCGAGAGAGACAGATATTGTCTTTAAAATAATATGCCCCAGGTCTGCTTGCATTCTCGATCTTCTTTCCTGTAATATATTAGGATAACAGGTAGAGGAAGGGAAGTCAGTTGCCCCTTTTGATCTTTTAATTAGTTCAGTCCAGTTTATGCAGATAAAGGGAAAACTCCTTCCAATGCTTTTTGATCTGCAATGGCCTTTAATTCAAAATATTCTTTATACCAAAGAGTCATCTTTGGTATAAAGTCATGGGTAAATTTTCCTGAGCTCCTTCACTCCCTTCTTCAAAAGCCTTTTAGGAGGGGCAGTGAGATTCTGATGAAAACAGAAGTCGAATTTATAACACAGTAGAGACTGCTTACAAACTATGTGATTTTTGGCACATCATTTAACCTCTCTGCACCTGTTTCTTCCTCAATAAAAATGGAAATAATGACATAGTTCTTGCATCATACGGTTGCTGTGAGAGTAAATGAGCACACAGAACAATAGAAGTATTTTTAAAAATAAATAAATACATTTGATTGAATATAAAATAGGATTTAGGGTCTTTTTTAATTTAGATTTTGTTTTGTTTTTTATGGTATAACTGATATACAATAAACTGCACATATTTAAAAGTGTACAACTTGATAAATTTTAACATACATACATAACCATGAAGCCATCTCTGCGATCTAAATGATGAATACACCCACCGCCCCCAAAAGTTTCCTTATGGTCCTTTGTAGTCCATGCCTCTTGCCCCTCCCCCACCATTCTGAGGCACCCACAGATCTTTTTGTCACTATAGATGAGTTTGCATTTATTTCTATAATTGTGTTTAAGAGGACTCATACAGTACATGCTCTTTTTTTTGTCTGTTTTTTCTGCATAATTTGTTGGATATGTTAATACTTTTTAATTAAAACTTGAAAAAAAAACTTTTTAATTTAAAACAAAATTTTTAGGCCAGGCGCGGTGGCTCACGCCTGTAATCCTAGCACTCTGGGAGGCCGAGGCGGGCGGATTGCTCGAGGTCAGGAGTTCGAAACCAGCCTCAGCAAGAGTTTATTTGAGGAAGAAACAGGTGCAGAGAGGTTAAATGATGTGCCAAAATCACATAGTTTGTAAGCAGTTCTACTGTGTTATAAATTCGACTTCTGTTTTCATCAGAATCTCACTGCCCTCCTAAAAGGCTTTTGAAGAAGGGAGTGAAGGAGCTCAGGAAAATTTACCCAAAAGATGACTCTTTGGTATAAGAATATTTTGAATTAAAGGCCATTGCAGATCAAAAAGATTGGAAGGGTTTTCCCTTATCTGCATAAACTGACTGAACTAATTAAAAGATCAAAAGGGGCAACTGATTCCCTTCCTCTACCTGTTATCCTAATATATTTACAGGAAAGAAGATCGAGAATAGCAAGCAGACCTGGGGCATATTATTTAAACACAATATCTGTCTCTCTCGGGTTAGTTTACAAAGAGAATCATTTAAGTCAATCTGTCTCCTCCATCCATTTGTCCTCCCTAGCACCATTTGTCACCCCTAAACAGAATTGTATAAAAATATCTGAAAGGATATGGTAACACTATGTGATCTCCCCATGTGCATGGTATAGGTAACAAACCTTTCTGCCTCAATTGTGAGTTGATCTTTCAGTGAGCTTTCAGGAAAAGGGCAAGCTTTCCCTCAATCCTACAGGATGGGCATAATACCCCAAATCCTCAAGTTAACAGTTTTAGGGGAAAAATACAGGACAGAGGTCATTTTGTATTGCTTTCTACCTACACCCTCCTGTATTATTGAAATACAGTAAATTGCTTGACTCAACAGCAGTCATTAACCAGGGAATATTCATTTTGTAGTGTACTGGGAAATGAATGCAAAGAAAAACTAATCTTAATTTGTCTGCATGTGAAAAACTGTGTCATTAAATGTATCAGCAATATAAAACTGAAGTACAAAATACCTTGGGAACTCATCTCTCACTATTTCCTGTTTTCAAAGATCTTAAATAATAAAATGATAAACATAAATTAATACTTCATAGAGGCATTATACTAGATTAAAAACATATTATACCTTCCTAATCTAAGAGTTCTCTTAGATTTTGTTTAACTCACTTTAATACTCACAATAAAACTGATGAAAGTGTCCATTGTTGGTATACCAGGAACAAAGTTGTAGAGATGAAACTTCAAAGCTTCACTCTCAGTATAGCTATAAGCCATCTCTGTAAGATTGATTCAACTATTGCTAAGAATACCTATGTCAGAAACATTACCAGTTATATCAGCTAGCCAAATTGCTCATAAAATATAATTTAAATTATTGTAGGAATTAGTAAAAAGTGACTTGTTTTATTTCATAACATAGTATTAATTTTATAAAATCTCTACATAGTAAGAAAATAAACAGAATTGATCCAGAAGTTCTTTTTACAGGCCATTGATTTTCCAGATATAATCTAAGAATAAAAATAAAGCTCTGTTCATATGATATCTAAAACTAGAATTCTTAAAAAAATAAAGGAGGGGAGAACTACATAACAAATTCATTGATTTTAAAATACACTGGATAATCTGTTATTTCTTCTCTATTATCGGGTATTTACTTTATGATCTAACCTTGTTACTATGTTTTTTCAAAGATTAGATATCATAAGAATTATAAATAATGTTAACCTAATAATATGACCTGAATTTGCATTTCACTTTACAATTTTCAAAACTCCCATTTTCTGATCCTATTTCAAAGCTATTTCCTATTCCTTTTCAGATCTATTTCTCAAAAATATTTATAAATGCCCTTACCTCCATTTTATAACTGCATCTTGTTGTAACCATGATAATACATACAAAACTGGTTATGATAACATTTTTCTTTAAAATACATATCATGTAATATAATATCCTTTATAAGTCCTTATTAATTAAATAATCGTTTTAAAATTACCTTCAAATTTATCTAATCACCTAATTCAAGAGAATACATTTTTCAATATTATCAGCATACCTAGTTTGGATGATTTGAGGGAAAGAATCTGATGAGCTTCACGGGTGTAATTTTCCTGAAATACCTAAAAAGTTTTAGAAAAATAGTGAATATAATATACATTACTTAAATTAAGATATCCAGAACCAATTCAAAGGCCACTTTCAAAATAATAGTCCTGGACTGGCACAATCATCTTCCATTTTTGATCTCCAATCACTTCAGTGATTCACAAATGCTTTTGAATCAAATCAATCCAACCTATCAGGCCTATCTAGTACACAACATGGGGCCTGGCAAAATGTACACTATTTTAACAAATAGATCATCTAAAAAGAGATTGTCTACCTATTATTAATTTAAAAAACCTCTATATAGTTCTTTTACTTACTTGTTTATTTTTATAAATAGAATAGTCAAACAGTCAAATTGTGCCTGTTAGGACACTCTTCTTTCACCTAGGCTTATTTCTTCTACTACAACTTATGTCTGTATTGTTTAATGCTATTTTTGGTGCAATTAAAGCCAATATTTTTTTTCGCACAAAAAACCCTGCTTGATCAGTGGTTAACTAAATAATGGCCATAAAGCAGAAGTATTAGCAGTACAGGAGAAATGTACGTAAGGCTGTCTATCTTAGGCACATACATCCTTTTGGCCTTATATACTAACAACTCCCCTGAGTTGTAAGGACCACCATTACGTTCGACCATTGGATCACCTCTGAATGCACTGGTATGTTCCTCTCTTGTCTCTCTCTCATATATTATTATATATTTCTCTCTCTCTACACACACACTCAGCACACACACACACACACACACCACACAATGACTGCTGGATGTTGGAGTAAGGATAAGTAAATAAAAGCAAATTTCTATGTTTATTTAGAGGCAAATCTAAATGTTATGTCTC